GGAGACAACTTTCTCGCGAACATGTGAAGGAAGATTATAACCGTTTCCAGCAGTAGCTTGTATTGGTGCTGATGCGGCTCGGGCTTGGCAGCAGATAGCGTTTTTGCATCAGTGTGTGGAACTGGAGGGGAATGCAAGATGGTGGCATTACCTTTAGTTGCTTGGAATCGAGTCTAGTTTCAAGGCTTTTCAAAGCAAAAGTCGTGACATGCAGTACATTCGCCGCCTCGTACCAAAGTAGATCACCCGAAGCAATTTCGATTGATTTACTGTTCTGGAGTTTACTCGTCACTACCAGATTGAAGACAGCTCTTCCTCTCTAGCTTACGCGAAAGCTCTTGTATTGAAAGAGTTTGCTGGTTCTAACCTCGAGTACCAAGACTAGATTGCTAGCGTTGTAGACGATATCCACGAGAAGCATTTGGTGAAGTTGTTACTATAACAGCAGTCCCAAAGTTTCTGGCCAAGATTATGATAGGCTGCTATTTATTTTTCGGCTGTTGCTCGAAAACACATCATACCCTGAGCAAGAAAAGGTGGAGAGAAATATGGCGGTTTTGCGTAACCTGAAAGCATTTGCTGCTTTTCAAAAACAAGGAGATTTGAACAACAACAACATGTCAAATCAAGTATCGAACGACGAAGCTAGTGTGTCGATTCAGGATGACAAGGTAGACGCCAGCGTGATTTCGTTTCATGATCTGATCGCAGCACCTCGAGTAATATTGGCAATGTTGGCGAGCAAAGAGAACTTTAATGCGTTGATTGGGCTTGCTGAATCTCTTGGACTGGAGTTGGATGAGTTGCAAATGCTGCTGCTGAAGAATATGATTACTGCAAACATGCAGTAAACTCTTCAAAGAATAGCAACATAAACACCAGGGTCGCCCCATTTGGTGCGTTTGAAGGCATCTTCAGATGTTTAAGTGATGCGGAAAGCCGGGTGACTGCTGCTGAGTGGCTCGCTGAGCGCATTCCACTGGGTGAAGAAACGCGAAAAGCACTGGAATTTGCTCTGAATGCTGCTGTGACAGGCCAAAAGGATGTGAGGACCCATCAAAGACTTTTTTTTACTGGACATGAAGCACTGGCAAACTTAGAAGCCAAATTGTACGAGCCAAAGTGGGGTTGCTCCTTCAAAATGTAACATTACAGACATCAAGTTCATGTGAAGTCAAAGATGACAAGGAGCAAACAAATTAGCTGCTAACACTGTTGTCACATCCCAAGAAGCTTTTCTTGGAATTATATCGACTATACGCGTTGTGGTTTTCTACTCACAGCAGTGAAATGCTTGACATGGTGACTAATTGGAGAACTACTTCAGCTACCGCAAACAAAGCTTCGGCTTGACTTAGCTCACGAGTGGCTTGTAAAAGACGCTGTTCATGTCGGCAAAAGCACCTCAAGCCAAGATGCCCAAGAAGATTTGTTTGAGTTTCTTGAAGATGAAGAACTGCATCGAGCTGACGAAGACTTCGTGAAAAGGATAGTTTATTTGATGAACGCTTATGTTAAGACTGGCGACTCATTTGGCGACCAAATATGCAGCTATCCCGTCAGTTTTGCAAAAGAGTCGCGACCTCAGGCTGATGTCATATTTCGAGCAACCATGAGAGCTCTACGTAACGCGTAATCTTGAAAGTAGGTCAGCTATGTGAAGCAGCTGTCGAGCGATGCGTTACGACCACACATGACATCGAGAACTCCAACATTGTTGTCAGGGAACAACTGGACTACACGAAGCTGTGCACACATATAGTAACGTTTGAAGAACACCGGGTGCCGTATGACATGAATTTTGTTTTGAGGAGCAACAAAACGATTCTTGCACGTAATTTTCTTCGGCGATTTCCTCCAAATCAACCATGGGTGCTGCAATGTGTCAGCAAACTAAAGCTTGACTTCGGTGTCGAAGCATCGGATTTGTAGAATAAGGTCCTTGCAAGCATGATGCATCGTGGCATGGTTCGTTCGCTGTCTACCATAATGAGCCTACTTAGTCGGAAATCGTTTGCACGATCACTGGAATGTGGCCAATAGGTATGGGTTGGCGTGCTAGTCCGACAATGACCCAACTAAAGCACAAGCACGACAAACAACTGTTGGATGTCGCTGCTAAACAAGGCCGTTATGATGCTAGCGCCTTCGGTTAAGAAATAAAGGAAGCTACTCTGTGCTTTGCTGGGATCCCTATTTCAAACTTGCAATTCGCATTGAAGCGTATGGTAACCCCGTATCTGGACCAAACGAGGAGGAGTGCAACAAGGCAGATATCGTAAAGCTATTGCACCTGCACGGTTTTGCTGTCAAGTTTGCGCTGACCATCTCCACACCGGTTGTCCGTCTCGAGGCGATAATGCGAATGATTCAATCTGCTGCATATGGGTCCGCGCAGCAAGAGTTACTGGACACACCATGCTTTCTCGATGGCGAACAAGCAAGAAGGTTATGATAAATGACATTGAAGTCGTTGACAACTTCCGCTTGATACAAGAAAGTTTTAAAGAAGCAGCAAAACGTGAGGATTCCTCGACCATCTTGAACACCCCTTTGAGCCAGGCTTTGTGGAGTATCTCGCTGCCACTGCTGAGATCGATTATTTTTTGTCCTTGTTGTACGTTTGCTAGCATAAAACTTGTCAGACTGGATGCTAACATGTCTTGTAATGTTGAGTTGGAGGAAAAGCGGATGCAGGCAACCTTCAATGCGGTAAAACATTACTACGAGTATCTTCCGCTTGAATTGGACGAAGTCAGATGATGAAGACACACTAGCGACTTCTAGCGACAAACGTTGGAAGCTATTTGATCAGTACTTGGCATCTTCAGACGCAGTACATCTTGAACGCTACCGGACGTCATGACAAAAGCAAACCAAAAACGTTAAACTTTTCAAATCTATTTGAACAGCCCCCACCAGTTAGTAGACTCGTATCATGCGGCAGTATCCCTCTCCTCGGTGCGGAAAATTACATAGAAGGCAAAGAGCGCGACGATGTAGTCCATCATGAGGAATATTGCAGCTTTCGACATGGGCGCTTCCTCAGAATCATCATGAACTCTGTCCTGCACTTGCTACCATGTATGGTGAAAGTGACGGGATGCGCAAACGCAAACGCGCCTGCTTTGTCAATTTTGCTTCGAGGAATTATATAATTGAAGTCGCAGATGTGATCATTTTCCGTGGCGATCTTCTATTCATCTTCGTTAACCTCGACGGTTGGTCCACGCTGATTGTCTTCATAGATATGGAAGTACTTCGTCGCCGTTGATGAGATGCGTCCATTTCTACGACGGGTCACCTCCATGCTTCCGTCCGCCGTCTCAAGTCCAATAGGCAGCGGAAGAACATTCACTATGAGCACGTCACGGAACACACGCTGGTCCATGCCGCTCAAGATAGCTGCCTGAATAGAAGCTCTCTCGCACACCACTTTCGTCAGCATTCACAGACATGCACAGTTCCTGAGGCACAAGCGTTAGTAAGAAACAGAATGTATCATCAAGATAACAACGGACTACAATGCACCTTGCCACCGACAAAAGCCACTGACATCTTTGTGCGCAAAATCAGGATTCAAGTGGAACCTCCTACAATGACCACTTTGTCAATAGGAACAGTTACCACCTCTGCTTCCTTCAGCACACTCGACACGATCCAAAAGCACCAGCGTTCATCAATAGCCATACGACAAAGCACACCTGCTTTGCCTTTACAAGATCACGCACGCCTTTTATTTTTTCACACAGCGCTTCAAATTTGCGTTACGTGAGCGTAAACGTACAGCAGAGATTTCCAACCCGACAATGTCCGCATATTTCTTCCTCTTTTGAGACATTGACAAAAATACATGTACAGTATTAATACTCTAAAGACGTCAATGTTCTATTAATATATAGGATTTATAATTTAAGACTGGTATAAAATAATAGCTAGCCGCTGCCCAGGACCGATGCATCTATTTAATTTATGAAGGTTATGATTCTACAAAGGTTTAATTTAGACAGGTTCGATTGTACTAGACACAGCATGTCGTTTCTGATAGCAAGTCGATCCCCGTGGAAGAGGCCAGGGATTACTTCATGATGGCTCGATTAGACGCTATAAGTGGTACAATGCTCCCATCAAAGCGTCCACTGTTTCCTGAAATTCGGGTGCGCGACCAGCCCAGTCATCCGGTCACGACTGCGCACAACAATAAAACTAACCTCGGACTTGGTTAACGGACCTACTCACATGTTTCGAAAAGAGTGTGTTGCAATCTCTCTTTTATCACAACAGAGTGCACCCCCCCCCCCCCCGTGACGTCCGATGCATCGAGTTAGCAGAAGGAAAAAGCGAGGAGGGGGACGATCGCGTTATGGTAGAAGACTGAGGCTATCACTCAACCAAAGATCTTGCCCATACTCGAACTTTCTGTTAAGAGATAATCTGAACCTCTCCCTTTAACTTGTTTCTACTGTACCATATATACAGTGCATAGTCTACGGATCGACACTATGCACCAGCTACGTATTCAGAGCGAAGCAGACTTTGCAGTAAAGAAATGCGTATTGCATTTCTCTAGCTCCATAAACGTGCTCAAAGCAATCAGGAAACACTTGCTAGAGGCACGAACTTACCATGTACTGATTAGCTCATTCACGAAAGCCGGATTTATAAGCATATTAACAATATATATCATCCGTTTAAAGCGATTGCTATCTGTGAACGAACCGCCCAAGTCTTTTTTTGCTGCTACTCGTCATATCAAACAAGGAACGGTGTCGTACAGACGTGTCCCGTCATCACATGGTGATCTCAGGTATTCTTACAATCCTTACAATATCCTTGAAGTTCGAGATGCCCTGCTTACTGGCTGATACAGGCCATACTATTAGTTGCTGCATGGACGCGCGTGATGATTGGTAGGCAGATAACCAACAAGAAGACGTAGTCAGTCTCTCACTTCTCAATTTGAGCACTACCGCCCATACCACTACAATAACTCAAGCATCATGCGAACCAGCTGGACAATTCTGCTTCATGGAGTGTCGCTGTGTATTGGCAGCTGTGTTGTATCGGAGTCAACAGTCGCCACAGCTTCATACCAGAATGTGTATGAAGTTGCTAAAATCAGCAAAGGGCGATCACTTCGTTCAGCTGTGAAAGACCGCGAGGCGACCGACGCGGTCATCGAAGAAAGGATGAATAATTTTAAGGGCTTGGAAGAGGCAAAGGAATTTCTCTTGCCTGAGGCTAAGACGGAGTCCCCTTCAGTGTCTACAAGCGAAGGGTTAGATAATCGCCAATCAGTTTTTGATGAAATAATGGGACAATGGAGATTTTATAATAAAATCTCTATTGAACAAGCTGTGAATTGGTTTGTAACGTTTGGTGTCGACCCTGAGTTTCTTCACACTGCGTTAGAGCTGGAAATCCCTATAAAAGATCTTGAAAATGGGGTTCCTAAAGGAATATCCTGGAAAGAGTCGCTGTGGCTGAAAGTGTATAAGTTATGGAAAGAAACACATGACTTCAAGCCCCCAGAATATGTGGAACCCAAGCCTGAATCTTGAGTGAAGCTGGGAAGGCATTTATCGATGCAGCCACAGCTCAATTAAATCCCCGTGCGTATTGACTCAGACTTGTAGACAGTTCTTGGATAAATCACAATAAAATCTGTTGTTTGCTATATTACTTGTTAAAAAGATTAATTTTTACCACCGACACTAAAATGGCGACTTTGTATGAAATAGTAAGCAGCAACTGCATCATAGTCGCTCTTATAAGCAACTTAGGCATCTCAATGTGATCGGCAGCTATCATGGTGGCTAATTTGATAAAGCTTCGACAAGTTTTTCACGTGATGATGACATAGGTATCCGACAAAGGTAGAAGTCTTGCACTGTCTGTACGTTCACAAGCGAAGCAGCACAAAACAATGCTGCTCAGGATCTCAGCCATCATCAATCAATAGGGTCGAATAGCTTTCCTTTTCTTCACCGAGCATTACTCGGTTTAAATCGACAACGCATTCGATCTCTTCATCTTCTCGTTCAGAGACGGCGAGGATGGGTGCAAACGTGGTCGTTGCTTGTTGATAAGCTGGAAAAGGGACTGATAGCGTGCATGAGATGGCCGGTGACCCTGGTACTGACTAATGTCATGTCACCGTTTGTTGACGCCAGCTACTGCGTGGCTAATGACATCCTTACTCAAGTGCTAATGCTTGTCTTGCATAGCGTTCGTCGCAACACCATCGCTCAGCGTGATCATCCTTAGATTTATCATCGTGTTGACTCGAGAGCTCGAGACATAAGTTGTTGCTGCGTCTACTAGCGTTCTCACTCACATGCACATTGAGTGAGCGCACAAAGCCGAACTACGGGATTTCAATGCACACGGCAACGAACTGCAGCACATCCACGGGGGTCCCTTTTGCTCACCTCGACCCAAGACAAGCACCATCTTGCGCGGTAGCGGAGACTCACACTGGAATCTGGTTGTTCGACTTCCACGATGGTAAAGTCTTTACTCTTCCAACAAAGCAGCGCCTGGCACAGATCGTCACCATGCGGTCGAACTCCTTCCAGTGGCATCCACTCATGAGCGTGGCACTTACTGTCGCAAATATAACGTCGTGCTTTGCTATACGCAGGTGGGCACGATCAGCTTTTTGAGCATCGAAGATCTCGCATCTTCTTGCTAGTCCTGCCAGGTTCGAAATTAATTCAACAAAGCTTGCGCACACCGTAATGGGTTGTCGCGGGCTTTGGCAAGCGTTGAGCGTGTCACACCGTCGCGCTGCATTGAATTAGCTTGCATTGCAGGAGGCAGCGCACTGTCTTCGAGAAGCAGCGTCATTGTATCAATATACGTTGCATCGTGAGAGCTCCATTCACAGCTCCAATCCCAGAGGACGAAGTGTTTCCTCGTGATGGAGATGGGGCGAAGTTCTCGAGTTGGTACTGAGTGCAGAGCTCGTTCATCGCATTATTAAGCTGCTCACTCTAACAATGGGGCTTGTCACAAAACAAGAGCTTTCCAAACTCGCTGATGAATACCCAACAAAGCATTTAAGCAACGAGCTTTCGTAATCAGGATGTAAGTCCTGCTTGCCGATGCATCATTCGTTTTCTTTCCTTCTTGTTGCTCAGATCACGTGTGGTGCCTTCCCGAAAGCGAAGGCCGAGCGTATTACTAGAACTCTTTCAAACTGATGGATATGGTGAGGAAGGTTCATGGCCAGCAAATATTGGGCCAGACCACGGTACGACGTGTTTAGACACGGTAACATCGTTTCCAGCCAAAATCAAGTTTTCCATTGAGCTTGCAGTTATCATGATAAGCGAAACAGGAGCACCCGCCTATAGCATTCGATTCGGATCACGCGGTATCGGAAGAAGAATGTCCAAACAGATCTCGCGTATACACTTTTTCGCCAGCTTGTCCTGGCAGCGGGTACAAATCGAAAAGCATTCGACTTGGCATTAGCAGCAAGGTGTTTGTCATGTCACACGGCACCCGGTGTTCTTCAAACGTTACCATATGTGTGCACCGCTTCGTGTAGTCCAGTAGTTCCTTGACAGCAACGTTGGAGTTCTCGATGTCATGTGTGGTCGTAACGCATCGCTCGACAGCTGCTTCACATAGCTGACCTACTTTCAAGATTACGCGTACGTAGAGCTCTCATCTTTGCTCGAAATATGACATCAGCCTGCGGTCGCGACTCTTTTGCAAAACTGACGGGATAGCTGCATATTTGGTCGCCAAATGAGTCGCCAGCCTTAACATAAGCGTTCACCAAATAAACTATCCTTTTCACGAAGTCTTCGTCAGCTCGATGCAGTTCTTCATCTTCAAGAAACTCAAACAAATCTTCTTGGGTATCTTGGCTTGAGGTGCTTTGCCGACATGAACAGCGTCTTTTACAAGCCACTCGTGAGTTAATTCAAGCCGAAGCTTTGTTTGCGGTAGCTAAAGTAGTTCTTCAATACCATTAGTCACCACGTCAAGCATTTCACTGCTGTGAGTAGAAAACCGCAGCGCGTATCGTCGATATAATTCCAATAAAAGCTTCTTGGGATGTGACAACAGTGTTAGCAGCTAATTTGTTTAGTTCCTGTCATCTTTGACTTCACATGAACTTGATGTCTGTAATGTTACATTTTGAAGGAGCAACCCCACTTTGGCTCGTACAATGTGTCTTCTAATCTTGCCAGTGCTTCATGTCCTTGATGGGTCCTCACATCCTTTTAGCCTGTCACAGCAGCATTCAGAGCAAATTCCAGTGCTTTTCACGCTTCTTCACCCAGTGGAATGCGCTCAGCGAGCCACTCAGCAGCAGTCGCCCGGCTTTCCGCATCACTCAAACATCTTAAGATGCCTTCAAACGCACCAAGTGGGGCGACACTGGTGTTTATGTTGCTATTCTTTGAAGAGTTTTACTGCATGTTTGCAGTAATCATATTCTTCAGCAACAGGATTTGCAGCTCATCCAACTTCAGTCCAAGAGATTCAGCAAGCCCAACCAACGCATTAAAGTTCTCTTTGCTCGCCAACATTGCCAATATTACTCGAGGTGCTGCGATCAGATCATGAAACGAAATCACGCTGGCGTCTACCTTGTCATCCTGAATCGACGCACTAGCTTCGTCGTTCGATACTTGATTTGACATGTTGTTGTTGTTCAAATCTCCTTGTTTTTGAAAAGCAGCAAATGCTTTCAGGTTACGCAAAACCGCCATATTTCTCTCCACCTTTTCTTGCTCAGGGTATGATGTGTTTTCGAGCAACAGCCGAAAAATAAATAGCAGCCTATCATAATCTTGGCCAGAAACTTTGGGACTGCTGTTATAGTAACAACTTCACCAAATGCTTCTCGTGGATATCGTCTACAACGCTAGCAATCTTGTCTTGGTACTCGAGGTTAGAACCAGCAAACTCTTTCAATACAAGAGCTTTCGCGTAAGCTAGAGAGGAAGAGCTGTCTTCAATCTGGTATTGACGAGTAAACTCCAGAACAGTAAATCAATCGAAATTGCTTCGGGTGATCTACTTTGGTACGAGGCGGCGAATGTACTGCATGTCACGACTTTCGCTTTGAAAAGCCTTGAAACTAGACTCGATTCCAAGCAACTAAAGGTAATGCCACCATCTTGCATTCCCCTCCAGTTCCACACACTGATGCAAAAACGCTATCTGCTGCCAAGCCCGAGCCGCATCAGCACCAATACAAGCTACTGCTGGAAACAGTTATAATCTTCCGTCACATGTTCGCGAGAAAGTTGTCTCCGAAACGCGTGACACGCGTCCTCGTGCTGCATGGACCGCATTAACCTGCACAGAATACAGGACAGTTAGTCATGCCGCAGTAAGTATCAAAACGAAGTGACGATAGATTAGTGTACCCCAGCACCATGTAGTTGTCAATCTCTTGCGAATGCAAGACAGTAGATAAAAGCTTCTCCATCTGTGTATTTACAACACTTGCTGCGTCTTCAGGTAGATCGTGCATTGACAAAAGTACTTGGAGGCTCAGCAGGGTCTACTCGTTGTTCAACGAGAAACGATATATAAGCTTCAATGCAATCGTGTTTCTTGCTTTGACTTCTTGACGGAGGTTCTTGTGTTCAGCAATTGCAAACCTGCTAGCAAGCTTCATTGTTTCGTAGCCGGGCAAGGCGCAGGCATCTCCCCGGTACCAACGGGAATACAGGATACACAATGGTGCACTACTCTTCGATGATAAGATGCTGTGCTGTGTAAATTGAAGGACCTTGTTAACGAGCATCGACATTTTAACAAGAACCAACGTCTCATCAAAAGACTCCTTTTCACACACGCAGAGTGCATACTTTAGCAGTCTCATCGTGTACATCGGTGCTTGCACTTGAGCAACTCACGTTGACGAAAGCTGATGGTTTCGGGCAACAAGGATATCGTAAATTTCTTTCGCATGTCTTAACGTGTAAAATGAAAGCGATATTGCCATCATTTTGAGAGCTTCGGCGGGGCCTAAAATGTCAGGTTGTGCTGATACACTTGCTGCTGAGTTCCAAGGGTCGATACGTGCGTTCAATCTTCTAGAAAACAATTCTCGAGAGAAGCGAGCAGCTTGCAAGAACAAAATCGTTCTGCGTAGCGCACTGGGTGATAAGAGAATTGCATATCCTCGAGTCGATGCTCACTACCAATGCAAATCGATTCACATCAAATATGAGTCGAGTCTTTCCATCATCTTGCTGCAATCTGTGACATGCATAATCTAACGGCTGAGAGCAGCCATTCTCATGTTTCTGCTGACTTTTTGCAGCAACTGGTAAACGATGTTCACTTGATACTCCGGTACACTTTTTACCTTTTCGGTTTCTTGACAAGTGAAGTATTGGAGATATTTGAAATGCTACGTGTAGTTTCAGCATCATCATGGCCCTCGCCAAACATCATCTTTGGTTTCATCAATTGCTTCAGCTTCATTTCGCGTTTCTCGGGATCACGCAGGACTGACAGGAAAGAAGAAGTCCGTAATCGGCCTCAACTTGACAGATTCTTTCAAACTGTGAAGCATAGGCATCGTAAAGTAAGTGCCACGTTTTGCGAAGCGTATCTCCTCCCCCTTCTGCTTCAGTCGCAGTTAAGCTACGCAGCAGCTGAATGTCGTCCATTTGTACGACAACTCGCTGGTTCGTCGCACCATCCCAGTAAACACGCTGAAAGAGATAATGAACTCTGCGACGAGCTCGTAATTTTCCGAATACTTGCCGCTACTCCAAGCACATTTTTAAAAACTGCACGAGATTCATCGTCACTATTCCCAATGCTGTTAGTGCATGCGTGAAGCATGGTTCGATACTTTTTGATGAACGGCTCGCGCAGGAGAGAAGAAATCGGGGTGCCCACAAGCGATTTAGCTATCGAAACAATATCCTCATTATTGCTCACTTCACTTGCAAAGCTTTCGTCAGCTTCATTTGTCGTAACATCACCATCATTTGTCAGCATCTCATGGAAACTTCGCGATGAGTTCGACATGCCGCAATCGCTTGAGAAAAATTTGTATCTCCAGCACCTGCAAAACATGCCACGATAGTGCATACTGATTGGGTCCCAAGATACTTCAACGACTCCAAAGTGACACCACGCAAGAATTGCCAGAGCCACCTGTTCAAGATGTTACATTTCAATCAGATGTAGTAATGGGCTTGACGGCCTCCCATCTTCCGAAACGCGCGCTACAAGCAAGCAAAGGAGTATTCTGCTCGTCCTCTCCACCAAGACAAGCTAAAGAACGGCAAAAGTCAATACCCCGACAACGTCTGCCTCAAACAACTCCGTCAGGTCACGCCAATCCACTTGCCATTGTATCGCACGTGCAAGTAAGCTAAGGTCCAGTATATAGACTAAATCGTTTGCTTTGTATTGCATCACGAACGTTTTCCCTTGGAAAGAAGCACCAGCAAACAATGAATTCCATCAAATGCCATCGCATCGATAGGAGCCAACCAAGAACCACACATCGATACTCGCTAATCATACAACAATTGTCAAGTTCGTAACTTGTCGTATATCGAGCCAAACTCCACGCACCTAAATTCCTCGTCGATCCTTTCGACTATATCTCCCAACGACGTCACCACCACTAGATCCTGCGCGTCGTGTAAACCGATCTATTCCTCGGACGTTGCAACTTGATACAAAGCACACTAACGCACTTAAAACGTCACAAAAATACACAGCAAAATCACATCCTTCAAAACCGTATTTTATACCTCTCCGAGCCATTTGTACACACCACAGAGTGTCCAAACGAAAGAGTCCCATATATCTTATAGAGAGACAAGATACCTGCTGCATCTGCAATTTCCACAGACTCTTTACAAGCACTAAGTGCGATCGTCAGCACTTGGAGCGTCATGTGAACCATCTGTTGGTCCTTATTTCTCGTCTCCTCAGGCTCAGAGACGTCTACAATCTCCACCTGTGTCCTGTTATTTACTATTATTGCACTTGTAGGCCCGGGAATAGCGATCCACGGGCTCATTTGGTCTGGAATTGGATGTTTGAGAGCTTGTTCGAAGGATTTAGGACCTTTTTTTAATGGAATCTCACACAACAGAGACGCTGTGGATTGCATGTTTTCTTTCACGATATTCTTCTCCTGATCTTTATCTTTCTCCTGATATATAGAGGAAGAGGTTAGTATTGCTTAAAGAGACGTGAGAATCATGTGAACGTACCGTCATAAGGAACACGAACTGGAACGACGACGCCCTTTTGGTGAATTTTGAGAAAATGGGCTCAAAAAGGTAAAAACCTATGCAATAGAATAATAAAACGAACTTACGCCAAATAGATGATGTATATAAAAATGTGACTCATTATGTAAAAGACTAAAAAGACGTCATGAGCATAAATCTGATTCTGTGCGTCAAAATGTCCTTTGTCAAGTCGCAAGTATTTATCCAACTTCACTTTAAAAAGATACAAACGATACTTACTAGAGACATGACTTGTCACTGCGGTCCAGCAGCAGCCTTGGCTATACGTTCAACCCTAAACTTGGCTATATCCTTTGCTGTCAAGTATTTTAAATATCCATCTATTACCGTATCAAATTTGTAACCTTGGTGTCCGTGCCTCAACAACGTGTCGGTAATTTCTTTTGGTGTAATGCCCGCTTCCGCCCAATTTTCATACACTTCATCGAGCAGTTTCATTTGTTTTGGCGTAAAAGTCTTAAAATCTTGCATGTCCTGATCCACGTCCGCCATGCCAAACCATTTTTTTAAAGCTTTCGCCATAACCTCGTCACTCGCATGTCCTTGTTCTAAAGCATTACGTATCTCTATCGGTAAGCCCCCGGCTCGCTCTTCCGTTGAATCTTCTTCGTCGTCGCTCTCTTTTTCCACAGATTTTGCTTGTAGCATACGCAAAAACATCTGACCTTTAACATTTCCTTCGCTATGGACATTCACAGCATCAACACTTTGTCTCAGACGTTGGTTTGAGCTTGTATCGGTCGATCGTGCACTGCATTCTGCGAGGTAAGTGAGCACTATTGGATTGAGTAGAAGAAGCGATAGACGCATGTCTGGACTTGGGTATTGGAGAGTAAAACTGAAAGTGAGGAGTGGCCACAAGTGAGCATTTGTCGCGTCAAGAACTTGCCTAAAGTGATACCCTTGGAAGCTATCAGTTAGGTCGTAATGGGAATCACCGTTTTTCTTACAAGCTAGCTATCAGCCAAGTTTTTCTGTATCTTCTATCGATCAATCGCCTTTATTTCAGAGAGAAGAAGAGAAGAACAGACCGTCTATTTCAAACATTAAGGATTGGTAAGATGTCTGGAGTGCTTCTACCAGGACTTCGTCATTCTTCGCCTCGCTGTCTCAATCTGCTGGCTCGAGACGTCGGGCGTCACAGGGGACACTCCGAAAAGGGCACGTGGAATCGGGTATCCAGCCCGAGGTGTAAACAGTGGCTCAATGATCGCAACAAGCGCCGGGCACCACACCGATCAGTCCCGATCGACCGCTGATGCACCTGGACGGGGCCGATCAAGTCACGTTCTTGGCAAGTTCACTTCGTGGGACCGAGATTCGCGCTCGGCGATCGAATCGGCGGCTTGAAGGCTGACGTAGAATAGCAGGAACTATTGGGGAAAGAGGGAATGATAACCGCGGTCATCGATCCTCTCCCCTCGGGGGTAACAGGCAGGTGCTCCCCTTACGGTTCGCACGCTGCGCTTGCCCCCCATAGCGCACGCAGCAGAGGGAAAACCTCCCCCTCTTATCCTGGGCCTCCCGTTGGAGGGACTTCCCGCCCTGGTCGGAGGGGCCGGTTGACCGGCTCTTTGAAGGTCTTCGTCTCTTGACCGTTGTTGCTCGAAGGCGCGAATTGGGAAGTGGTCGCCTTTATTTCACGTAGGTGCATCTTGAAGGAAGTGCCCTTCATTTTAGCTTTCCCGTAGAAGCGACGCAAGAACATATGCGGATTTGTAGCTGTAGTAGTAGTATCGAACACAACAGAGACTATGGTCACGTATCCAAAAGTATCTACAAATCTGACTCGATACGTACGGGAATCGGTGGGACCTGTGGCTGCATCGATGTGAGCTGTGGCAGTCTCCTGAACAGCTGCGTAGCTCATCTTCTTTAACATATTTCTAGCCCATCCCAATGTGGCGTCCAAATCGAGTATTGTCCGATCCAGTTCAATCGCCAGACGTACATGTCCTTCGCAACTACTAAAAATTCTCATTTAACAGATTCAGTTTGTGCATTTTTTCGAGTTGCTCAGGAGCAAGTGTTTAGTGGGAGTGCGACTGCATCATAGTCGCTGTTAATGCGTCGGCGTGCTACGTTGTTGCGTATCCATTTGAAATGGCTACTTCTCTCGGCATAAACAGACAAAAAAATTCCCCGAATGATTTTTTTAGGCACGTAAAGCCGCTACGTTGATATCGTACAGATTACGCACTACATTTACCAGACAACATGTGTTTTTGTCAAACAAGAGCTTTATCGACTGCTCGTGTCGTAACTGAAGGGTTGACTGACAACCATGGAAGTGCTTGTACTACCAATACATATATATTATATAGTAAATATAGTACAGTCTTAATATAATACAATAAAGACACGACGGGAGTTGAGCCATATGGGAACTTAGCTACCTTTTCTATACCATTCAAGCAAATAATGACGAGACCGTAAACGTCCGAGTCATTATCATTCCAGTTTTTAGCAAGCCAGTAAGTGGTACATGCCATGAAATTTTTATTTACACAGTATCCCTTTCGTATGAAAATACATGAAGTCATTGACCAAGACTGGTTGTCACTACCCTCCAATGTTAGTATCAACAGTATTGAATCAAAGACGCGTACTTAATGTAAGCAGCTAGTGCTTGCGTTGAGCTGGGTCGTGTCCTAATGGAGAGTTTGAGCTTCTATCACTATGAAAGAGAGCAGAACAGAAAGGTCACATGCATAACTTGTATCGAAACGTAAATGAAGATGACGAAGAGAATGCAGTTATCAAACCGATAACAGAATCTCTATTTACGGTCGCACAGCAAACATCAAACGCTGATCTCGTTCATATTCTACGTGCAGTGAACAGATGCAGTACGTGTATTCGGATTATCAATAGCTGAGACGTACATGTAAAGAGATTCCCGTAGACTTTAAGAAATTTGCGCATCCTTCTGTCCTCTCTTCCTCGTGGGTATATCCCAACCACTCCTCGGCTATAACAGGATAAATTCTTTCGACGCAAGGCTGCTGTCATGTTGTGTCTCAAAATTGCTACAATACGACCACATTTTCGTCGGTTTGCTACCTCCTCGTCAACTTTATCGTTGGGCCAGGAAATGTCGTTTGTTCAAGACGATCGATCGATCAGCTATTGCTTGGCAACTGCAGGTACCTTTGTCATGTGATACCACAAAAAATGCAGTTGCTCAGATATATTTTAGAAGACGACATCTCCATAACGTCATATGGAAGTATCATGATAATGAACAAAGGTCATTATCGTGCTTTGTTGCATATCAAAAGCCATGACGTACTATCCCACCTATGAGCTCATGGATGGGTACGTGCATGTCTCAATCCCTCCGTATTCTAGGGGGGTACCGCCGTCTTTTCTTCGTCTGATCAAAAACTACTGGTAATTTATAATAAAAAACGTCTCGCGTCGTTCTTATGTTGCGGACAATAGTCCTTTACGTTGCACGAAGATAAGCCACACGAGCCAAGTCATGAGCTCCGTTAATATCGTGCTATCTCAAGCCGTACGTGGCGGTATCTATCGATTTATACAACGTTTAATAACCTTTGGTGCGAATTCCTTTGTGCTACGAAAAGTACATCTTCATGTGACAGGAACCGTCTCGGTTCGATTGGAATTGGCTTTAGCGTCGATATTTTTCCTTCGAGATGGATTCCGTTTAGTATTTCTACGCATGCGTTCCTTTGACTTGAAAAAAGACTTGAATACTCTTGATACAATACATTTGCAACAAGTCGTAAACGTTGCCTGGTTTTCAACGGCCATTAGCTGGACAATTGCAGGTGTACTCTTGTTTTATTCGACCAATTCAGACACTTTGAAATCGGACGATGCAGTGGTAGGGGAGTTCTCGTTAGTGTTTGCAATGTATTGTGGTGCTGCAATGATTGAAGCATTAGCAGAACCAATGTTTGTACTCGTACATGCTAGTGTCTTAGTCCATTGGCAAGTCGCAGTTCAAAGTGTCGCATTTTTCGTCCGAGCGGTTGTGCAGTACGTGGGTGTCGTGGTCCTGGAGATGGACTTGATGGCCTACGGAATCGCAGAATTGTCGTATGCTTTGACGTTATTGGTGATGTTTCTCGGCTACTTCTGGCGAAGAATTAATGCTCTATCAATTGAAAAAGACAAGTTTGCATTGACAAAGATGACTCAGTTATTGCCTGGAAAACCGGACGGAAATGCAGATTGGTGTCATGCAGAGCTGATGATATTGCTGGTACCGCTAAGTGTGCAAAGTGGAGTCAAGTATCTACTAGCAGAAGGAGATAAGTGGGTGTTGACTGGATTCGCATCACTGCAGCATATGGGGGTGTATGGATTGGTATCAAATCTAGGCTCACTTGTGCCGAGAATTGTCTTTTTGCCGATTGAAGAAGCTACGAAAACTATCTTCAGTAAGCTTGCGCTAGCTCAAAAGAAGGAGAGTGACGACCGAAATGACACACCGACCACGAAAAAGAAAAGTCTGGACGATGGACAGACTCTGCTACTGGTGCTGCTCAAGCTTATGAACCTGGTGGGGCTGGTGTTCGTATGCTTTGGTACCAGCTACGCACACACGTTGGTGTTGATGCTGTACGGAGCTGAGAAGGCTCGTCACGGTGTGGGTGCTGCGTTAGCTCTCTACTGCGTATACATTCCATTTTTGGGTGTGAATGGAGTTTGTGAAGCTGTGGTGCACGCTATCGGAGATGACCGTGAACTTATGCGACTAAACAAGCTGCTCGGTGTATTCTTTGCCATATACGCGTTCAGTGCGCTTGTATTCATGCAGGTACTCGATTGGGGCACGTTTGGCCTCATTCTCGCGAATTGTATCAATATGGGCTGCCGAATCCTCTACTGTTTGACATTTCTGGCTTGGTATTTTCGTCAAGTAGCTCGAACCTCTCAGCCAAGCAATAGCTTCGTTAATGGCTTATCGTTCTGGCGCCAATCATTGCCTGATCGACTCGTGGTGACTGCATTCGTAGTTTCTTTGGTGGTGACTATGACTTCGCAACGCGTGTTGCTTCATTCCGAGACGGATGGCCCAGTACCGTTCATGCGACACATTGTGCATGTGACTGTGGGGGTAGTTTGCTTCACTGGAACAGTGCTCACACTCAACCTGAAAGAGCGGCACCTTCTACATGCTCAATTGACAGCCCTTCGGGGCCGATGCAAGTCTCATGACAACTAATAATCTGCAGTACCAATTTGCGTTGGCTGGGAAGTGTCGTCGCCTGAGTCCTATATGCATAGCAGTGTAAAGGAATGAACAGACGACCAAGAAATGAACAGACGACAACTCAACAACCCGAACATATACTTGTTGGGTACCAGAAAATTGCCGCGATGCGAGCCGCCTTATTGGAAACATGCATTTGACTGCGACCTTTCGTTAAGCAAAGCAAGGACAAGACGGTTCTCAAGGTGCTGGAGCAAATATTAAACAAGACGTTCGTGAAGTGCCGGAATAAGGCATTTACAGACAGTCACCTCTAGTTCTTTGTGGACGACGAAGACAACAGTGAACATATCGAATCGAGCGTGCCAATTCCGATACATCTGCGTCATCATCTATAATGGAAGCGACCAATGCTATTGCTAAATGGAAGTCTTTCCTTTGCGGTTGTTGAACCGCTTGGCAAATTGACGTGAAGCACTTATCGCTACGAAATGAGGCTGTCATTGACGCAACGCAGTAAGTAACTGTCTGTGCCTTGAAGCCACACACGTCAAGCTTCTCACGCTGTGGTTCGGCCATTTTTCAGTTGACGCTTTTGCTACAGCAGACGAGAAAGAAGGCCATGCTTGGATCGTGGAGCCCTTAGTCTTCTTGAGTGCTACTGTGGACACGACGTTCATCTAGCCAAAAGTACTCGTCAGGTCTTCAAATCCGCCTTGGAACAACTTCAGGTATTGCAATACATCAAGACTGATTTCATAACACGCATCACAACAGATGAATCAAATGGCAACTTTTTGAGCCGCTACAGCATTAGCAGGGTAGACATACGCTTACAGCTTTCTTCTTCTCCTTCTTGATCTTCTTTGATTTCCGAGCTTCCTTCATAACCCCATTTCTCTCTCTCTTCCTCTTCACAGTATCATTACAACATTTCGCCGTCTCCAGCTCTTCGCACTCGTGCGTCTTTGCTTTCTTCAATTGCAACTCGTCACGTCTAAGTTTGCCATTGCAAGATCCATAAGCTCTACGACCAAAGAGTTTTCCACCAGTTGCAGCAAAAAGCTCTTCATCGGTAGGAATTCTCCATTTTCGTCCATTCTCTTCGTCTCGTTTTCTCTTTTCTTTTACTTTCTTCTTCTTCTTCTTCTTTTTCGCTTCTCCCTCTTCTTCGGACAATGCGTCCACCACAATCTTGCTAGCCATGCGATCATACACATTGTACCACCATTGATTCTGTTGCTCTTTGACTGCTTCTTTCTCCGCTCCAACGCCCTGTAGCTCCTCGCGTCGCTTTACCTTCACGTGCGACTTGATACCCTGCTCGTTCTTGCCCAATCCTTTACCTTCTGACCAGCCCATCAGCTTCATCTGACGACGCGCAAAGTCCGACACTTCAGCTGCCGCACTTTCATTCGCCATGCCGCCCAATTTGCGCATCATCTTCTTCCCTACGAGAGGCACCACAGCGTCACCAGCCATTGGAACGAAGCGAGGACAAGAGAGGAATCATGTGAACAATTTGATTGGCGGAAGAATCAGGCCAATTGCAGCGTAAAGATTGGCTGAAATAAAGCATTTGAACAGAAGTGATTGGTTGAAACAAGTGCCAAGCTGATAGGAATTTGCTTGCTGGAAAACGAAGATTCTGTCAGTACGTTTGCTCTGATTTAAAGTATACAAATCGTATGGCGTGAATCACAAATATCTTCCGTCACTGTTCTACAGAAACAGGATACATTTGTACCATGTCACACATTGTGAAACCTGTCTGCGTATCTTCGCCATGCTGCATCGTCTGTATAAAAGACGTAGCGTTGCTTCTAACATCCCAAGAGACCTCACTACGTCGATTTTCCAGTAAGTTAAAGCGCGGTCAATCAAGCTCCAGACAATTCCAAACGTAGTCCAAGAGAAGAGATCTACCGTTAAAGTAGAACCACGAGACTGTCATCGCAGTATATAATGTCACTAAGACACCTGTTACCATTGCAACGACACAGCAAAGTCAATTTTTTTCACACTGTCACCTGTGACGATTTTGGCAAGATGTTGTACTGAACCTCTGCCGCCTATGTCCGGGAATGACTCGGATTGTCAACTTCTCCATTGTCTTACACCCAATCGCAGTCATTTCATAATACTTTGATCAAGGTCTTAACAAATATCTTTCGAGAAGATGGCAGCAGCAGTGTACAACCAGTATTAAGCTTAGCTTCATCGGTAACAATTTCAAGCTAGCGCTAATGCTCCAAGCAGCAACATCGCGCAGAGAAAATTGTCCTGTGAAGCAATGATGGCCAGGTTGTCATAGAAAAAATCGCAAAGGCATCGTGGAGGACGGGCGATCGACTGTTGATCTATATGAAAATAGCGGTTCGATTGCCTGATGGCTGTTTGAACTAAATGGGGTTCTGTAGAAGGAATGCACGCTGAGCACCTCGTCATGATCGATGGCCACAGATTCCGACCACGATAATTGATATCTATACAGTAATATTTCTTAGGCATACGATACTATTTTGTTCTTAATACTATATATCTGTCTCTACTATATTCTGACATGGATAATTCATACTAGCAAAATATGAACAGAGCAAGTTGACGTCTCACCCGTGTTAGTGACACTAATAAAACACAAACCTTCGACGCCATCGAAAACGCATGCACGACGAACTTTCGACGAACGGTTGGTATTACGTAAACACCCTTCCCACTTCCCCTTCTTCTTCAACCACCTTTAAATACAAGCACAAAATAAAAAAAGAACCTCTAAAAATGGAACACTTGTCCCATTCAAACCTAGAGCTCTTTGATTTTGATTGTAATTTGACGCATGAAGATCTTTGTCACAATGTCCAGCGATTGCTACAACACGCAACAGCTGTCGGAGTAAAGGAAATGGTAGTACCTGGTGCTACAATCGAAGAATCTCAACGAGCTATTGAACTTTCGAGCCACTATCCGACTCGACTTTTTCCAACGGCTGGAGTCCACCCATACAATGCTCGGATAATGCCAACAGACGAGGAACTTACAACGCTTCGAAATCTTGTCATGCTCGATAATGTTTATGCCGTGGGAGAGTGTGGATTGGACTATTCCCCACATTTTCCCGACCGAGAATTCCAGAAACAATGGTTTGCACAACAATTGGCAATGGCCTGTGCGTTGAAAAAACCGCTTTTCTTGCACGAACGACTGGCACATCAAGACTTTATTCGATTGATTGACCAAGCTACCAAGAACTCGGATGGTTATTTTCCACCAGCAGTTGTGCACTGTTTTACTGGGAACGAGGACGAGTTAAAGACGTACATTGGACGTGGTAACGACTGGTACATTGGTATCACGGGATTTATTTGCAAGAAACAAGGAGCCGCACTGAAAGAAATGATCAAACATGTACCTCTAGATCGACTTGTTCTCGAGACGGATGCACCGTACATGGGATTTCCAAAGTGTCGATCTGCTGAGTCTAGTGAAACCAAAAAACAGTATCCAAACGTGCCCAGTGCAATGCCCTTGGTGGCTCAAGCTGTTGCCTCGGCTCTCGGTTACTCATTACAGGAAATTGCAATGATCACGAGAGCTAATGCACGTCGCTTTCTACGTCTATGAGAGACACTACTTCTATCCAGACATGCATTAATTCCTACATGACTTTCTAGTAGGTATACTGGAGGGGCTATAATGGACGATATATTGTTAATATATCTAGTATATATCGGCTGTTGTTACTGTGCAGTGAGTAAACAATGCTACATTTCACGTGCATGAGATATCCGAGTACGTTATAATAGCACGACAACTTAAAGATAGCAAAGTCATTTATCTTTCTAAAACTAAAAATGCATCAGAACGTGTCCGTCGTAGATGGTGGAATGTTATTGAATGCAATGATACTCTCTGATTGCGTCATCTCCTTGTCGTGATTCCAGTCTGCATCGACATTTTCTTCCTCAGCACTTCCACACTCACTGTCTGTACTGAGTATACTGCTAGTAGATGACAAATGAGGAGACATGGCTCTTGGTTTCGTACACTTGTACACAGCCTCGAACGTATTGTCCTTCTGTCTCAATAGTCGACTAATAGTCTCTGCAATGGTTGCCACACTGCGTTTATCATTGGTTACTGTCAAGTCCCAGGTGAAATTTTCATAAAACGTGACAATTTCTTCCATCCATTCCCGTTTGTGCTCATTCAGACGTAGTCGCTCAGGTTCGAGTTCAAGGCGTGCACAAATGCGATGCCACAATAGCTTGCGTTCGACTTGTACATGCACTGTGTAGAACTGAACACCGGCATAATCTTGTACTTCTCTCATTTGTTCCCGAATAACAGGCTCTAACAAATGTCCATTGGCAGAATAGAGCACAGCACTGAGTGGCGACCGATCAGCAATGAAAACTTGTTTCTGGCCCGGTTTAACACGATCAGCGAGACGCAAGACGCGCTCAAACCAGGAGCAAACCCATGATGTTTCCATAAGAAGAGACTGTGGATGAAGGGCATAGGATGGCATGCTCATAAAAGCTTCGTCGAGAATATCATAACCTTGTAATTGAAATTCTCTGCATAAAGCGGTTTTACCACAACCTGAACAAATAATTGCATTTGTTACGAAGAAAATCAAGATACAGGATGGGCGATGTATATATGACACGAATGAACTCACCATGGCAACCTTCTAATGCAACAACAACCAGTTTTGTTTCGGGTTTCATTGTAGCCAATTACTTGATGAACAAGAAGGGGCGTTGCGGATGTGATGACGCTTGTGGGAATGATTGGATATCTTTAGAAAAACGCGCCAAATTTTTATGCAGTGAGGTTAGCTATACATAGGGGCATGCTGAGACGTTTTGCGGACTTGGGAATTAGTAACAGGCCTTCAATGCTGATATTTACCTTTCTGTTTGGTGTCTTTCGCGCCAAAATTATCGTAAAAACAGACTTTGCGCGTGTAACTGCTACAACATGCAGCGAGTTTAACACCTTCAGACGACATGCATTCCAATTTGAAATGCAAGCAAAAGTGGGAATTGTGCCGCTATTATCTACACAATGTCGAATAAAAAGCTGTGCATTGGTAGTATCGGCCTAACACACAAATTGTCCGCGAGGTATTGCCAATGTATAGCTGGATGTCCGTTCTTTTTTCAGAGACACTCGCAAGTATCGCAGCCACATATAGTGTGGCAGACACTAAAACTACCTTAAATGCTGCAAATCTTCTGTAACAACAAAATTGTGGCACTGTAGCCATCTATGCAATGTACCTATCTGATGCGTATCAAAATCACAAAATTACAAATTGGGGGTCTGATTCCACGATGGTTTTCTGTGGTGCCGATTTCCAAGTGTCTAAAGCTCCGGTGGCGCTTCGGACCCATCAAATTACTGCCAAATCGACGGTAAATGATGCAGCCAAGAGGACATCAAGTATTCGCGACTTTGCTGCTGAGCTGAAGCGATGTCTCGAGCCGTCCATGGGCTCAGGGTGGCACATCGTCGTGGGGGGTGACTTTGCGGTAGATCTTCGCTACGTACGTAGTGTATAATTTGTCATAATTTGTCATAATTGTCATAATTGTCATAATAAATAGTAGAGTAATTTTGTAAAATATGAGATTTTAGCTCATATTTTATAAAATTAATCGAATAATATTTATTGTGGCTCTTTCTATATTAATATTACAGCGCAAAGGAACATGTGTGCTACTGTATAGTAAAACTAAAAAGATGAAGGTCTTACTGTACCGTACGACACCATCTGTGTCTCCTCGACCCATGCAAGAACATGAAGTTTTGATGAAACCGAGTGAAAACCTCACTACGAAACGAAAAATTGTGATTTTTGAGAGTGACATGGAGAACGAGATGACAAATGCAGTTGTTGATAAAGTCACAAAACTTTTCAACTTTTATCAAGAAGTAAAAGACAATGAGACCAAAATTGCTCAAGCTCTAAAGGTACAGCAAAAAAGTGTCGTTTCGATATTAATTATGAGAGTTTATGGCTCGTCACTAATTACGTGCGTTGATTCCTACAGCATTCACTGACGTTCACGTACGGTCCGACATGGCAAGTGATCGTGTCTTCTTCGTGTGAAATGTGCTGCCTACCAATCGCTGATAAGGGTTCGCACGCGGACTTTTCCGTGACAAAGCTGCGAGTTGTGGTGTACCGTCATGCCGGCACCAGTTTGGATCGTCACTTGGACTCTGCACAATTTGGCAAGCGCGTTGCCTTTGTTCTGGCTTTGATCTGTTTGCTGCTCTATAGCTTTTTGTCGCTGAACTCATCGGAGGTGATTCAAAAGTGCAAGGACAGCGTGACAGATACTAGTGAGGACTTCTTGGTAAATGACGTTGTTCTGCCTACAAGCTGCTCGGCCGAGGACATTGAACGCGCAAATAATCACGAGTGGTGGAAGACGAGTGCGATTCTCGGGATGTCTGCTTTTACGATGATTGCGTCGCTTCTTCGCATGTACACCAAGTCGCTGACTCCGAAAGTCAAACGTTCGTGAAAGCAAAATTGAACGGTGCAGTGCAGTCCAGTGTTGCTTGGACGAGAATCCTATGGACGCGAACGTGAGAAGGTAACTGCATACATTAGAGGCAAGCTTTGAATACCTGCAAGGTGGTTAATCAGCGGCATTACGTGACATTCTTTATAAATTCGTGTCCAGACTTTTGTTGGCATTGCGGGTAATGCAGCGGGGACATGTTCCGTTCGAAATGTTTTTTTCGTGGCAAGTAGACGAACGCCACAATACGAGCCCTACATCCTGACACGGTATGGTCAGCGGTTTACCTTTTGCTAAGGTGGCTGAGGTATTTTAAATGAGTTGGCCATCTACATCCTTAGGTATCCTCGAGATACATCCAAATCCTTTGCTCAACAAGCTTAATGTCAACATCGATCCGTGTGTTAAAATAGTCAAGGAATGAAGTCTTGGTTATCAACTTTTGCATTTAGTAATTACTGTCATAATGGTAGCTGAAAACCTCTCTTAACTGCTACATATATAATGCAAGTCATATGTCATCATTACTTGTGCGACCTAGCGTTAACCCTAACCGTCATATTTATTGTCAGCCCATGGCGGTAGGTCAGTAATACGAGCAAGGTCCTTGGCGCAAAAGTGATGTATATTTAGTGCGACGGACGATTACATAATATTGTGTTGCGTGGGACAAAATTGTCAGTTTGCACAAAAAAGTTGGCCGTTTTTCTAATCGGTTAGTTATAGAAATTGCGGATTGTCGTGTGAATTATATGTTCTACATACTCTCTCCATCACCACCTACGAATTTTCTCGTTGAAGCTATTGAAGCTGAACGAGACATCCATCTTATCAGTAACCCAGACTAAATTTTAATCTCTGCTAAGGAATTTTCAAGGGTTGCGTGATTCCTTGTACCCACGATTGAAGCGACTGACGTACTGTTATAACAACCAGTTGGTCGATCTCGTCGTTGTAATTCACATCAAGAGCAGCATCTAGGGTCCACCATCGACCGATCTTGACAAAGAGCGAAAGGCATAACAAAATTCAGCTATCAACTTTTATTTTTGTCACTATGCCGCATGACTCATCGCTCTGCACCCCCCCAACCGACTTTGCCTTTGATGATCGCGACAATACCGTTAAGCCTTTGCCGTTACAGAAGCTCGAGACGCAACCACGTGTGTCGTCGTCATGAGCCAATCAAACATAGATTCGTCAGAATGATTTATCCGATCAGAACTTTGTATGTAACTCACAACTCGTACAGGTGACGCCACGTTCTAAGGATCGCAGACTTTTTCGGTAAAATTTTCCAGCACCTTGCAAGTCTCCTAGCAGCTTTGCTGTTTGATACTGGGTACTTACTAACTCTACTGTTCAACAATCACAAGCTACCGTCTAAGCACCAAATTTAAATCTTTGCCAGGTGGATGTGGCAACCCAACCAAAAAACAGCCACACCCACACTTTCTTCCCAGAGCTTTGCTCTAAACGAACGACAGCGAAGGCCGCACGCTCGTACTATTTGCTTGGTCATGATTTTTTCTTATGATACTTTAAGAATCAAAAAGCGGTTGTGATCAAGACAAAAGACAACTTCTATCAAAACAGGTGCAATCGATGTTGACAGGCTCATGGGATACTGCGTCAGTATTCTTTCTTTGTAAAAGAGTAGGCTTATCGGTGGAGATGGACTCGTCTGGATCATCGATTAGGAACCACCAACTCACTTGCCATTTTCCACCACGACCACGAAATCTGTATCTATAGGCTTCAGAAAACCTTCTTCTATCCACTGCCACTTTCGAGATCTTTTTGAATATGGGCGTCGTCTTCCGACCCATTGACCACCATGAGGCTTCACCTGAGCTAGCCCCTAGTAATCTCATGCAGTGCTGGGGTCACAAACCACAATCTACTACTACAAAAACGTGCGTGCATGAAAGTTATTGCAATCTGAAAGTATACAGCAACTTATTCACCTTGTCATTTGATTCGATTTGATACGGAAAAACAGACTCACACTCACGACATGCCCTTTCCTGTCATTACAAGACTGCATTGACAAGAATTTGAATATGTGCTGGCTGTCAAATGATAGTAAGTATCGACAGCTCTATGTCTCCGTAATGACGAGTACCAAGGACCAACAGCATTCACTCAAGCGCTGGGCTAGTGTGATCATCACACCGCACCGTGGTATCAAGCGTCAGCGGATTTCAATTACTCGGAGCTACCAAGTAGTCAATCATGAAACCGACCAAACCAAAAGAACTTCTGTGGGTTCTATTAAATCTTTGCAGTATGCACTACCAGGCCTATCGAGTCATGACACACTTCATGTGCTACATGCAATGCGTGTCATACCTAGTGAGCTACGGTATCTAAATGGTAACGCTAGTCGTAGCCACCTTAAACGTCGCTGCAAAGTGCGACAAATCTTTGGCTGGCGACATTTGCTTTGCCAAGAAAATGACGACCGCCGTGTCGTCTGGAAAAGTGCCAAGGCATTAGATTCGATGAAGATGCGACCATTGGCTCATCAGATCTGGAAAGCAAGTACCGAAGCCATTAGTGGATTGGATGATCGAGAGACGGGGAAAGTGTTGTACACTGTCAACGACAGAGCCCGGGTCGTGCATTCGACAAAACGACAGTATGGTAGCCGTGATCAAGTCTGGATCGAGTGTTACCTTGACGACGGATTGCAAGTCTGCGTGGCACGCAAGGAACTACGACAGTTTAATGAGTATCGTGTATCGGAGACATCAGCTACTGAATGCCAAGGATATTTAGTGCGACCAATGTACACGAGGACAATCAATGCACGGCTAGTGGGTTGTTCTCTACAGTGTCTTCGGGCAGTGGATGCACGTGATTGTGGTGTCCGATCTGCCTCAGCGTTAAAGCAGCAAATGCTCGACAATCTCCCGCAATTGACATTACAATGCGAAGAGGATTACATTTACGACCTCGTCCAGACGCCGCAATTGCTACTGGACAGTGTCTTTGCTATGTAATGGAAACAAATTATCTAGAAAGTGCAGGTTGCCATATGGTGTGGTGTGTCGCATCTGTATACGCACTGATAGAAGAATTATCTGACACCCGTGGGATCTTTTTGTGTACCGTCTGTAATCCTCTAGCAAATTCTAAGAGGATATGCTTTAGGAATGATAGATCTTACGACGGCTACGTTGTGGTTTAGCTCTACGCATTACATCCTCAGTTCTAGTGACTAAGGTGCAAATCTACCGACCGGCGTCACCATATTTTTTGGCTTAAAGCAATATTCAACCATATATCCGGCTTTTGTGTTTCTCGGTGAATGTTTTCAATGCTAATCATATAAAACCTCTATTAAATGATGCACACTCTTCTTTCAACAATTTCTAAAAATTTGATGTTACCCACTTCTACAGTCAGAGCTGTTTAGACTAATATCCTAAAGACCGAAGACATCTACTAGTTATCAGCGGTTATAAAATACGACAGCACAAAATCAGTAGTAAGCAGCCGGTTCAAGACATAAAGTACTTAGCAGCTAGAAAAGGTTATTAGTTCAGGCATCAACATTATAGCGAGCAGATAAGAAAAACATCTAATCTGTTATGCTAGGAATCGTTTCTATGTTCGGAGAACTTAGGGTTCTGCCTCCGTCGAAATTTTTTCAGCCGGATTTTCAATCTGAGTACGTCTGTCACAGGAGCTTCGTATTTGTGCAATCAATGATAAAGAAAGTGAGATATTAATCTTGTCCAACGCAATTATAATTAAGGTCCGATACGATGTAAAATCGATAAACGATGACGAGAATTTCACAAAGATACAGCTATGTCAAAGCATCGTATCGAACTTCGCTCAGTAAAGTCCATGCTACTACACAGTGTCAAAGAAGCTGCACTTCTGTCTGTGATCAAAGAAACTGAGCAGTTAAGAAAACCAAATAATTTAGAAAGATACAGTATTAAGCATGTGGCCGCCACATGGCCAATACTGCCAATACGCCACAGTGTGGCGTATTAGCACGTGACCGCTTGTACAAAATTGACTTGTCGCAAAAGCCAGGGCACCAAGGCAACAGCAAAGTGGCTTGCTCTCCGCAATGGCAACAAGCTCTGCCCATTCTATTATAATTTTACTTCCACTGCCTGACGCCAGAATATATGACGTATCCAAGCAGCAACATTCACAAGAAATCCACAAGTTTTTTTGGATATTGCTACATGCAATTTCGATAGATTCCCTAATCCACGCTTTCACTGCATAAAGAGTTCATAGACTGGCCGTTTTTGACTCGAAACTCTGACTTTCCACTCGCACTGGCTTCTTCCGTCATTTTCATGTACCTCCCAACAGTAAAAAGAGTACAAATGCATTGTCTCTGGCGCGCTCTCTATACACAACAGTCATTTTCCATCTTCCTGCGACAATTTCTTTTGGTTTTATCCGGAAAATATCCGACAACAACCCTCCCCCCTCTCTCCCTGGTCCACATTCGTTGGGTAACGCGATCAGTTCATTACGGAATTTCCCCTCCTCCCCTCAAACAGCACTAAAAAAAGCGTCCCGTCTCTTTTCCTCTCACGTCCCCCGTCCGACATCAAGTGTCCACTTCCTCTGCCGTCCCTCCTCATTCAACGTCCACTTTGGATGTCCGTGAAGAGTTCGTGGACTTTCAACAAAAAGTACCCCGTGTACTTTACCAGCCACTAAGGCGTCTCTTTTCTCGTTTATTCTTTACTTGTTGCAATGACTCAATTGGAGCTCTTTGCTGCTTTAACTCCCGTGTCCTTTCGTAAGACTTTGGACACGTTTTCGTCCATTTCTCGTCATCTTTCTAGCAATCCAGTACTCTGTCGTCGTACGTCGTCCACTTGTGTCACGTATGACACGATCGAGTGTACGGCTTTGATTATTGGCTGCGGAATAGCCGGTAGTGCAACGGCATTACGTTTAGCTAATCAAGGGATTAAAGTAACAATGTTGGCAGCTGCGAAAGATCCCAATAATTGTGCGACGTATTATGCGCAAGGTGGGATTATTTACAAAAGTGACGATGACACGCCTGCGTTATTATCAACGGATGTTCATCGAGCCGGTGCAGGAATCTGTGATGATCTTGCAGTTCAGAAACTGGCTCTTGAAGGTCCGGGACGAGTGGAAGAAATGTTGCTTGAAGTTGCCAAGGTCCCTTTTACCCGAAAAGATGACGGGGCACTTGCATTGACACTGGAAGCGTCACATAATCGTGCTCGGATTCTCTATAAGGCCGACCATACTGGTCGTGCAATTTCGACAAGTATGGTCCAAGCCGTTTATGATCATCCGAATATTGTGCTGCTTACTAATCGCAGTGCTTTTGAACTCGTCACGAATCATGCTGGCGAATGTGTTGGAGCATTGACTGTGTCGACAAAGAGAACAGTGGATTATTATCGTGCTCCTTTTACACTTTTGGCTACGGGTGGCATTGGTGATGTGTATCAAAACACATCGAACCCCGAAGGTGCTCGTGGAGAGGGCATTGCACTTGCTGCTCGTGTTGGTGCAAAGCTAAAGAATATGCAGTATGTTCAGTTTCATCCGACGACGTTGTATATTCCAGGAGAACGTCGTTTTTTATTGACGGAAGCATTGCGTGGTGAAGGTGCTATTTTACGTAATAAAAGTGGTCGTGCATTTGCGAAGGATTATCATGTGGATGGCGAATTGGCTCCACGTGATGTAGTGGCTCGCCTTATTCTAGCAGAGATGGAGAAACAGAATGAAATGTGTATGTATTTGGATATCTCACATGAAAATGCCGACTGGATCAAGACCCGTTTTCCGACGATCTATCAACACTGTCTTGATCGTGGTATTGACATGACAAAGGAACCAATGCCAGTGGTTCCCGCTGCTCATTACCATTGTGGTGGTGTAGAGGTTGACTTGCACGGTCGAACATCGGTTCCTCGTCTATATGCTGCTGGTGAAGTGAGCTGTACTGGTCTTCATGGTGCAAATCGTCTCGCGTCGACTTCTTTGTTGGAAGGATTAGTGTGGGGCTGCAGTGCTGCTGATGATTTTATGAAGCGTCGTAAATCAATGGACTTCGAGAGCTTTAAGAAAGAGAATGATCCATTTGCCAACCTAAACGGCTTTCGAGACCCATACCCGAATGAAGTTGAAGAGGTAATGCTGGCGACTCAGCGTATCATGTGGGAGTCAGTGGGTCCCATTCGTACGAATGCTGGCATGAGTAGCGCAGTGGACAAGCTCGCACTTCTCGAAATCAAGGCAGACAAGCTGCATCAAGAGTGCCGGGTGACCCGCGAGACAGCGGGTCTGCGAAATGCGGTCCGTACTGCAAAGGAGATTGCCCTGGCGGCTCTGAACAGCCACGAATCGGTGGGCACCCACTACATCGTGCAGGAGTAAGTGGAGCTGCTCTTTTTTTCGACAATTCATATATTTCCTGCATTTGTTACTTGATAGAAACACGTTGGTAGCTCTCACCTTGGTGAAGAAGCCAACGCGCTCGCTTTGAATAGGTTGCTGGACTTGTCTATCAGATTAAGTACACCTCGTTCAGCCGCAAATGCTTGTACAAGATGGTTGGCTCATACTTTGCAATGGCACACCTTTTAGTTCGTGGCAGCTTTCTTGCGCTTGTAAATTGCATAGTCTGCGTAATGGACGTATCGTGGTGTGAGCATAGGGATGTAAAATGATCGGTATGGCGACATGGATTGCTCGGCGTCGAGAAATTGTTCCGAATGTACGAGCTCCCATGTTGCAGGCTCCTTCCACAACTTGATTTCTTTTTGACTGGATAGGTTCAGATCTACTACATAGTCACAAACGTTAATGGACACGTATCGGCTTGGCTCCTCACGGTTGTGGTTGTTCATGGCGCTTGGAATAATCGATGTGCCGTGTATGTGCTCCTCAAAACGCTTTGGTAAGAGACCTGAAAACGACGATTTGACAAACTGCACCTTGGTGCTGTTGGACGGAATAAAAAAGCTTGTCGGAAAACGATACCATTCCTTTGTGAGGCACAAGTTTACCGTAGGCATCACTGCATTCCAAGTCATGTCACTTGTAGGATTCGGTAGCACCTTTGTATACAGATGCTCGTACACACGAAGCGGAGCGCCAAAGTTGACGACGTTGCTGACAATACGAGAAACAGACAGTAGCGAGTACATACCCAGCGTACCTAGTACAATCAGCTGTGAGAGTGCATTTCCAACAGTACGGGCGTGACTGAAAATTCGTTCAATATGATACACTACTGCGCTTAACGTGATTGCAGCAGCCAGACAAAAGAGCGGGTAGACTGGGGACAGGAATCGTTCCTCTTTGTGTGCCTGAGTAAACATAATCGCCACCCATATGTACATGGGAGACAAGTATGCCATTAACTGCATTCTTCCCGTCTCATCATGACTAGGTCGTACGAAAATGAACAGCGCTGCTGGTACAGCTAGTAAAGCCACCACATTAAAATTGAGAGCGAGATTCAGCAAGTAATAACTCAGCGGTTCCGTTCCGTAGAGCGTCGAGTCTGTCTCGTTGCTCAGCACATTGTACATTAAAATGTTCCATGCCGGTAGTACCCAGCGCTGATAATAGTAAAAATTCACAAACACTTCCAGTGTTACAACACCTCCAGCAATAACTGCCCCAATGAGGATACTCTTCATTACTCCACGAGTATAAAGCGTCTCAATTGCAAAAGGAATAAAGAGAACACCAACGTATGGCCAGCCACAAAGTACAGCCACTACTCCATAAAAGAGAGCAAAGTAATGGTTCCTGTTCATCCACGCACTCGTAAATAGCATGATCAAGACCATTGAAAAGCTGCTGGGTAAAAATGCTGTACTGGCATGAAAGAGTCCAGGATTGAAGAGTAAAATATATAGGAAATACCGAGCAGTCCGTCGACCAAAGTGTTTGCTAATAGAATGGTAGAATAGTGCTTCAGCATAGGCCGATAAGAGTCCTAAGACTGCACGAAGACCGTAGAATAGTACCAACTTTTGGTCAATTCCAAGTCCGAACGACAATCCAATGGCCATAATCTTTAGAATGATATAATGTATCCATAGATAAACATACGAACGTAATGCATAGAGTGGAGAATATTCCCATGTTTGGAACCCAAAATAATAAAGCAAAAAATGAAGTGGTTCCCAATAATTAAAAGTTTCATCACAATCGAAGATGGGATTAAGTAATGCTGAAGTAGCACGAGGAAGAAGAAGAAGTGAAAATGAAGTCGCGAAAGATGGAAGCCATAGTAAAACATCGTTGACAGAAGTTAACTTCTCTTTCTTTACTTCGGACTTTGACATACGTCGAGGCATTTTTTATTGTCACGAAAGACAAAATGAATGGAGTATGGATATGTGTTTAATCAAGACGAAAAGAAGATAAAGTGTTGCTGGTGTGGCACGGGTAGTACGGTTTTTATTACTTGCTGTGGTTTGCTAAAGGTTGCAAAAAATAACTTCCTAATCTACTTATTTGACCACAAATATGGTCTTGGACCAAATTACTCTAAATTCAAGCTTACATTGTCTAGCACACCGTTTCCTAAATTGATGTAGTGCACACTAAAACATAGGATCAAAACCCAATGCTTCGTTCGCATAAGTCTTTCTCAATCAGTTACACGTACATCTTCATGCTCACATTTGCCAAAACTCGTTGAATGACTGCGCATCGTCAATGGCAGCCTCCATTGCGGCACGGTCGATCCTGTCCCTAATTGTCCTGTATCTTTGACCTCTCGCTGTAGAATAGCTCTTCATTTGGCGTAGTTTACTGCTTGTGGCGACAATTGCATCTTTTCGACTCTTGATGTTTGGCACAATCTTTGTTACGGCGTGTTGCTCGACCTGGGAATCGCTGTGATAGATCTGCATATCAAAAAAGTCGCGCCAGCCCCGTTCGTCTAAAACATATACAAGTATTTGCTGTTAGCGATAAATCACAACATTAGGCAATAGCAGCATAAAATTCTCTTACCATTGAAATCAGGAAGTTTAGTCATCAACAGCTCCGACACAGCGTCTGGTACATCGTTTCCATTCACAACTTCGTGTTGTCGACTCTTTCTTTTCCTCAGTCCGTCACAATACGCTTCTGCAGGTTCAATGCTGCCACCATCTAAGCTTCCCCATATGCGTCGACTAGCTTCAGCCGCCGTCGTCGGTGTGGTCGGTAAATCTATCTGACCACTCCACCAACTCAGTCTGTCCTTGTTCGTCGTTCTCAAACGGCTGCAACGTATCTTCCTTTGTCTTGCTCGCACATAAGGAAGCAATGAATACATCAGAAAAGCTGCTACTAGTGTTCCACCGAACATTGCAGCAGCTTGGCCAGTACTCGTCGAGTCAGAAGTTTGCTGTCTCTCTTCTGTTTGACATTGCAACTGCTGAACAAGTGAAAACGCTCCGATTTCTGGCAAACACATTTCTATTCCTTCACTGGAATTAGAAGCTTGAGTCGGAACTTCCAAATAAAGAGGGAAAGTCGCATTTAGTTGCGTATCGGAAGGTGCTAGTCGTAGTAAAAGACGATAAGCTAAAAGAAGTCAAAAGAAGCAGCATCAAGTAGTAATGTTTCTAAAAATCCTTCAACGTTTCAATCAACACAAACTGTACCCTCATGCACTCGATTGAGTTGTGTGACGATATTAACGTCTTTTAACGTCGCTGTTTCTTCCCGAACTTGTTGCCAATGTCCATCTATAGAGTCTTAAGAAATGCATTTTTACGTCATTTTCGGACGAGAAAGTATAGAAAAACACATTGTCATTCATGCCTTTACCTGCTGTACGTCTGTAGCCAAGTCGACTTCGATTAAATTGAACGGCGTCGTCTCGTGACGTGAACGAGTCGATGGTGACTGCAACGGCAGCGCTGGTCATACCAAAAGGACTCTCTGGCTCTAGAGGATTCAAATGTTTACCCACCCCTACAACGTAGCGACGTCGTTATAAGGTCCGACTCTCAATAACTGATGCCACTGACACGAGGGATGAGAGTGACTATTGACTATCGACTATTGACATGGTTATAAACAATGGATTTGACGCTGTCACACATGGGCGGGCAAAGCTGATAAAACATGGTCAAACGGATCTTTATTGATGCAATAACTTGAGGGGGGACTTTGCAAGTAAAAAATGGTCCGACGGGTTTGAATTGGTGCATTACAATGCCAAAGCGATGTGCGCCACGTCTTTCGCTCTTTTTTGATGAGCGTAGTCACTTTTTTACCGTAAGGATAGCCTCATCGTTACAGAGACCGACCATGTCTATCATGCATCTGCTCCGTGCTGGCCACTTATTGTTCATTCGTTTTGCCAAGGAATTGTTTTCTAAGGTTTGCAGTGTATACAAAATGATCAAGCCTGGTTGGAAGAACATTATACAAGACAGGTTTTGCCATAAATCGGCATCAATCTGTGGCAATCCCATGTCGTATGTGAAATACCTTCCACCATGCCTGGCTTCCACAAACGTTCCCACCTGGAAAATTACTAAAGCCAAGCCCCCACTATTGATCGAATCATTCCACATCTAGCAGCTTCCAGCTCAAGTCACCCAACGTAGTCACAATGAACTACTCCCGCCAATCCAGCTGCACTGTCTCCGGTAAACACTCCATCAGCAGCAGCAGCAGATCTTGGACGATTCGACTGCCAGCAACTCATTCACCGTCACCAGTGGACCCTCACTAGCAGCTCAGCAGCTCGTAAAACATGAGCCATCGTGGCGTCGTACGGGTCGCAGCTCCATGGCCGCTGACGTTCGGATCCCAAGTTTCCTGATCCCATGTTCAGCTAGTCAACTAATGGATGAGCGGTACAAGTCTCGCAAGATCTCAAGTGCAACTGCTGCTGCATGAACGCGCTTTCAGCTCTTTTGTATAGTGTATTGAAACAGAGTGCCGTCAAATTGGGATCACATCCATTGTATACATCGTAACAAATAATATCCGTCCTGTATACCGTACCTGTCTTTACCCTTTCTTGAAAGCGATACAGGTCAGAAACGTCGACGTCGGTTCTTTTTCTGACCAAAATCGACGCACTGTCATTGGTCGTCATTTTGTTTTCACTAGTCAAGAAAGTGGTCCATCAGAGACCTGAAGTTGATGTAAACTAGCTGATCGATTGCTGCTATTTTTGTCGATTGTCAAGCGTCCTCGCCCTCAATTCGCTATTTTTGATCTTTAGTCCAACGCGTCCAAAGTAAAGAGATTACGTGCGCTAAGTAGGATATTCGTAACGCCACCAGCTCCACCAGCTCAGTAGTACAGAAAAAAAGAGTTGTTTGGTTATAGTTGCACGACAATGGACGAAATGCACGATGCCATCCAAGACGCGCAATACATTGGTGCAGTGACCAGCTCTCAACGAGGTCCTAGTGCAGCATTCTATAACCCGTCAAGCTGCGAGCTCAATCAATTTATAGACAGACAGAAGCGCACACAAGGCAGCGACTGGCTCAGCCTCGAAAATTTGCTGGATATGCCACTCGGCTTCTACTTTTTCCGGTGCTTCTGTGAAGCAGAAGAGCATCATGGAAGTATCAAATTGGACTTGTTGGTTGAAGTGACCAAGTTTCGCATGCTGCAAACTTCTGAGCAACGTGCTGTTAAGGGACGAGAGATCTGGGATATGTTTTTTGAAAATGCTACGTCAGGAGGTGACTTGAACGCGGCAGCTGGACAACATGGAGCCACGATGTGGTCGCATTTAGCGAGAGAAGACGCACGTCGTCCGGCGTCGTCAATATCTTCGTTGTCGACGTCACAAGGGACGGATTGTTCATCGACAGGTAATAGTTCGCACAGTCTACCCCTGGGACGACCCAGCCACGCGCGGGCGTCGATAGGCGGTTTTGAAGATTTGAACATTGCGTCAATGAAGACAAATGGAATTGTGTTTTGGCGCAAGAATCAATCATCGGTGACTCGAGCGGATATACAGAGTATATACAATGTCGTCTCAACGGATGTAAACGCTCTTGGTGTTGGCGGTGAAGTCGTGCAACGATTAAGCGCGGTTTTCAAGCACAAACCTTCTTCTGTAGGACTAGATTCGGATTGGAGAGACTCGCTGAATAGTGTCCGAGATGGCAGTATTGCAACAGCCACTAGTCCTAATTCTAGCACTGTGTCTACACGCGAAGTGAATGGTCTTGGATCGGAGAAACGAATGGATGTCTTGGCTTATAACACTCGAAGCGACAAGCGCATGAGTGTGGAGTCTAAGGTTTCTGCGCTAACACTATTCGATGAGTTGGAAGCCTGTGTACTGTGCAGTCTGGAGCGATTCCAACTAAAAGCCTTTCGTGCCTCTGCCTATCACAAGCGATTGATCACATTCCTGTTCTTACAAGAGCGGCAAGTAAGCAAAGACGATTTTGCGTTACTTCGTGCTCTTGGACGCGGCGGTTTCGGTATGGTAAATGGATGCATTAAACGTACGTCGGCGTCACTCTACGCTATCAAAGTGATGAACAAGAAAATGATCAAGAAAAAACACGCAGAAAAACTGTGCCTTGCTGAGCGAAAGATTTTGGCGATGGTTTCATCACCTTTCGTGGTGTGCCTGAAGTATGCGTTTCAGACGCCAGAGGAGCTCTTTTTGGTACTAGATCTACGTACTGGTGGAGACCTTGCTTTCCATCTTAATCGTGTGAGGTTTTCGGAGACGCAAGTACGTTTCTTGGCCGCTCAAATCTTGCTGGGGCTTCAACACTTGCACGAAAAAAATATCGTGTATCGGGATCTAAAGCCAGAAAATATTTTGCTGGACGAAAAGGGAAATTGCAGCCTCTCTGATCTTGGTCTTGCCGTCGAGAAAACATCGACGCTAGCAGGAAGGTGTGGGACTCGTGGATATTGGGCTCCAGAAATGCTGCTTTACGACGGACGGGGAAATCGATTGGTATACAATGAGACGGTAGACTGGTGGAGTTATGGGTGCTTGGTATATGAACTTTTATATGGCAAATGCCCCTTCCGGACATCGAAAGCCAAGGCTCTCCACGAGGATAAGCAACAGGCGTATGACAAGGCTACGTTGGAGCTCATACCTGCGTATGACTCTAAATTCTTTTCTGCAGATGCAGTAGAGCTTATCCAGCGTACGTTTGTGATGATTATTTCTATCTAGTCGAGATTTCGACGAGAGTGCTGATAACTTTGTTTTGTTATGTAGAACTACTGATACGTGATCCTAAGATACGACTAGGGGCAAAAGGGGTGGAGGAAATAAAACGTATGCGGTTTTTTTCATCGGTCGACTGGGTGCAGATGGAGACGATGCAAGTGCCGCCACCGTTTGTACCTGGAAACGAGATCAATGCTGCATCTCAAGCAGATATCGGGTCTTTTGATATATCCGTTGTGAAGGGGATTAAGCTCACGGACCAGGAACAAGCTGCTTACAGAGACTGGGACTATGTCTGCCCCAAGACATTTCAGCGCGAGGCGATAGAATATCTCGTCTGGGAAGCCAAGCATGGCCCGTGCACTATCAGGGCCAATAGTAGTAATTCGTGCTGTTTGATATTATAAGCAATTACTAATTGAGGTCATTCTTAATAATATGACTCATGTACAAAGTAGTAGATTAATTTCCATCTAAAAGTATTACTACTGATACCACCTTCAACGTCGACACCCAATCAGAATGAAGACCCATTGCTCACGTCGGCACTTTCCAATGAACCCGACGTATTCCTCTCATTCTCGATTTCCCTGCGTTCCTTAATATAAACTTTAACCATACAAAACACGTCCATTATGATCCCGTCAAATCCCATCTTTTGACTTTATATAGTAATAAACCTTTAAATCAAAGAAACCTGTCAAAATTGTTAGCTCCTCCTTCGACTGACGTCGTTTCAACTTCATTCCAAATTATCGCACGGTCTCGCACAAGCTCTACATCATGTTCGTCAAGCGTCTCCAGTGCACCGTCACGGTGCTTTCTACAGTGCTTAAGCACACGTACGTCTTCCTCTTCATATCATTACAAAATATTGGTCCTTTAAGACTCATAATTGCGACCTCCGCATCATTTCTAACAGTTTTGTAATGGTATTCCAGCCAAACGCGTTCAATTGGTTTCCTATCGTCACTACCAGAGGAACATTCAATGCTACGCGGCATGTGTATGCAATACACAGCTAAAAACTTGAAACCAGTTGCTGGACAGCTGGATAAAGAGCACAAATTTCCGGCCAAACAAGTGAAGGAGCTCGGGGAAATGGGCCTTATGGGCGTCGCCATTGACGATCAGTATGGAGGAGCTGGACTAGATTATTTGGCTTATGCTATTGCTATCGAGGAGATTAGTCGCGGGTGTGCATCTACAGGCGTCATTATGTCGGTCAACAATGTGCGGGTCATTAGTTATTGCTACATGTATTATGAGAGGTGAAGAAACTGATTATTTTTCTATTGTTGCAGTCATTGTACTGCGCACCGCTGGATAAATTTGGCACTCCTGAGCAAAAGGAAAAACACTTGACACCTTTTGCTAAGGGAGAGAAGCTCGGCTGCTTTGGATTGAGTGAACCTGGTAATGGCAGTGATGCTGGTGCGGCGTCAACTACTGCACGGGTCACTGACAAGGGATACGTGTTAAATGGCACAAAGGCGTGGATTACTAATGCTCATGATGCAGATCAGGCAATTGTGTTTGCTACGACGGACAAGTCGCTGAAACATAAGGGCATTAGCGCTTTTATCGTGCCGACCAATGCACCAGGCTTCTCGCTGGGCAAGAAGGAGGATAAGCTCGGGATCCGTGCATCGAGCACGGGCAATCTCATCTTTGAGGATGTTGAGGTCCCAAAGGATAACCTGCTTGGTAAGGAAGGAGATGGGTTTAAGATTGCTATGGTCACGCTGGACTCGGGTCGGATCGGCATTGCAGCGCAAGCACTGGGGATTGCTCAGGCCTCATACGACTGTGCTATCGCATATGCGCAGACTCGCAAGACGTTCAATGTACCTTTGGCCAAGAACCCCATCATTCAGACCAAGTTGTCAACGATGGCAATGGAGATCGAGGCTGCGCGTTTACTGACATGGAAAGCTTCCGTCGAGAAAGATGCCGGCCGTCCATTTACGAAACTAGCGGCCATGGCGAAACTCAAGGCGTCGGAAGTAGCCACATTGTGCTCTCACGAGGCGATCCAAGTGCTCGGTGGCATGGGCTACGTGTCTGACATGCCAGCTGAACGCCATTACCGCGACGCACGTATCACGGAGATCTACGAAGGCACATCCGAGATCATGCACCTGGTCATTGCAGGCGTACTTAACAAGGAATTCGCTGAGACTAACTAGTCATATAATCCGTGCAAGCAAATGGCTACAACTAGGCGAACACAATTTGCTAATCTAAAACGATATAAACCCATAGTCATTTGCTCTAAATAGGCGATACTTTGACTTCATTTCGTAATTATCTTTGTATTGCCCAAGTGTCTTCATATGACAATGCAAGATGTTCGTCAGGCACTAAATGTGTCTGCTTTGACCGACTATATTCACTTGCATTTGGGTGCTTCATACGGTGCAATCGAGTCGATCTCTCAGTTCCAACACGGTCAATCGAATCCAACGTACCTATTGACAATGACCAATTGTAAAACCAAGTGGGTGTTACGCAAAAAACCACACGGTCATATCCTACCGTCTGCACACGCTGTGGAGCGTGAGTATCAAGTTCTAAAAGCTCTCGAGCATACAGAAGTACCAGTACCACGTGTTATTTTGTTGTGTGAAGACCATGAGGTAATTGGCACGGCCTTTTACCTCATGGAATACGTACACGGTCGTATCTTCCAGGACCCGTCACTACCTGGTATCAAACCCATGTATCGTTATGCCATGTATAGCTCTGCATTGGATGCACTTGTGAAGTTACATGAACTGGACTATAAGAAGATTGGATTAACAGGCTTTGGTCAGCCAGAGAAATACTGTCATCGAGTGGTGACACGCTGGAGTCGACAAGTACAAGGAGGACAGACAGTCTTTGCCAAGGCAGGAGTCGAAGACAATCCAAAGATGATCCAGTTGCAACACTGGCTGGAAGATCATGCACATGATGCAGAGAAGGAGACAGCTGATGGACGAGCGTGTATTGTACATGGAGACTTTCGACTTGATAATATGATCTTTCACCCGACAGAGCCAAGGGTAATGGCGATTCTAGACTGGGAGTTGTGCACAATTGGCAACCCATTTGCTGATGTAGCAACGCTAGCATCAGCGTACAGACTATCGAGCGATAACTCGAACACGATCTTGGCCCCTGGACTGTCGGACGTATCTTTGAAGAAGCTTGGCATTCCATTGGAAAGTGAATTATTGCTAGGATACTGTAGTCGTGCGAGACGCTTTCCGCTAGATACTAAGACGTGGAACTTCTTTATGGGTCTGATTGTTTACCGCTTTGCTGCAATCTGCCACGGAGTGTACGCTCGTGCGTTGCTAGGCAATGCGTCGTCGGCGAACGCTGCATGCGCGAAGACAACGATGGATCGCCTATTGGCGATGAGCGACGACATTATGGATTCTTCGGCAGATATCTACCCTGATCCGGAATTGGAGCACATTCTGCCCTTCCCAATACGGCCGCACGCATTAGAGATTTACAAGAAGTTGCTCAAGTTTTGCCAGACTCGGGTATACCCTGCAGAGTATGTGCATCTGGATCAAATTGCCAAGGCACGCCAAGAAGGTCGTGTGTGGGATGTTGTACCACCTATCATCGAGAAGCTCAAGACCGAAGCAAAAGCGTTAGGACTTTGGAATCTGTTCCTGCCCGAATGCGTGGTGCCGGCGCTCAATGACAAGGAACCTGACGTCAAATATGGCGGAGACCTGACCAACCTCGAGTACGGACTCATGTGCGAGGTAATGGGGCGCTCGATCGTGCTGGCGCCTGAAGTCTTCAACTGCTCGGCACCCGACTCGGGCAATATGGAGATCCTCACTCGCTTTTGCACAGCGAAGCAGAAGCACCAGTGGCTTGTCCCTTTGCTCAAGGGCGACATTCGGTCATGCTTTGCTATGACAGAAAAACATGTGGCTTCATCTGATGCCACCAACATTGAAACGAGTATCGCACGCGACAAGGAGCGCCAGGAATATGTGATCAACGGACACAAGTTCTATATCTCCGGAGCGGGCGACCCACGTTGCAAAATTATTGTGCTGATGGGCAAGCACGCCGAGCGAAGAAATGAGAGCGTGTATAAGCAGCAGTCGATGATCCTGGTGCCGATGAATACACCAGGTGTGGTAGTTGTGAAGCCCATGCACGTGTTTGGTTACGATGATGCACCGCACGGTCATATGGAGATGAAATTTGAGAACGTTCGCGTTCCGTTCAGCAACATTTTGCTCGGTGAAGGTCGTGGGTTTGAGATTGCACAGGCGCGCCTTGGACCGGGTCGTGTCCATCACTGTATGCGCACGATCGGTGCTGCAGAGCGTTGCCTTGAGTTGATGGTGCAGCGTGCGAAGACGCGCACAGCCTTCAAACAGCTGCTGGCCGAAAACCCGCTTGTGTGCTCTCAGATTGCCAAGTCGCGCTACGAGCTCGATAGTGCGCGGCTTCTTACCTTGCAAGCTGCACACCTAATGGACAAACATGGCAACAAGGTCGCTCAGCAGGCGATTGCTATGATTAAGATCGTAGCGCCTAATATGGCACTGAAAGTCTGCGACCGGGCTATTCAACTTCATGGTGCTGCTGGAGTAGGCCAGGACTTTATTCTGTCGTATTTGTACGCAGCAATGCGCACACTCCGCATCGCCGACGGACCCGACGAGGTGCATATGCGCACCATTGCCAAGCTCGAGCTGAGAAACTCGAAATTGTAGCTGCCATGGTGGTGGCCATCAGAATGATTGGCACGCGTTCATGTACGCGATATTTTGAATTTAAGACGCCATTGTTTCTGCATAGCGGCTTTGAACTAGAGTCTTCTAGCTACTGTCTCTTGAATGTACATTTACATATCAACCAGAGACTTAAGACGTTTCTGCATTCTGGCCTTACCAAGTAACAAGAGTAAATTGTGCTATTCATCTAATGCGAGGACTTTCCAATACATAAATTAGGAGCTTATTCTATAGCGACGTTCGTATCCATCCTTTGACGATCTAAACGGTCCATTGCGCGATTAATACGTCATATGACCATCGCGCTTCTGCAAAGGCACATTTTTGGCTCAGTGGATAGATGGTGCTGGTATTTTCGTGTATCTGCTTGAATGCATAGCAATCAAGGAAACATTTACTAGAGGCACGAGCTTACCATGTAATTACAACCCTTACAATATCCTTGAAGATCGAGATGCCCTGCTTACTGGCTGATACAGGCCATAATGTTAGCCAATGCATGGACGCACACAATGAGTGGTAGGTAGATAGCCAACAAAAAGACGTATTCAGTCTCTCAATTTGAGCTTTACCGCCACCACAGAGATTTTTTCTCTCACTTTGAGCACTAACGCCACCACAATTACTATTACCCAAGCATCATGCGAGCCAGTTGGACAATTCTGCTTCATGGAGTGTCTCTGTGTATTGGCAGCTGTGTTGTGTCGGAGTTAAAAGTCACTACAACTTCATACCAGAACGTGTATGAAGCTGCTAAAGTCAGCAGCAGGCGATCGCTTCGTTCAACTGTGATGGACCGCGAGGCGCCCCACACCGTCAACGATGATAGGTTATTTAGTTATGAGGGCCTGGAACATGTGCAAGAATCGCTTGTGAGCCAACAGGTTGGCCTTGCGCACGACGTTCAAAAACGTCCACCGCGTATAAGCAATCCTGCCGAAGGGAAACTTCGAGCTCCCATGAGTTTCACGACTCGGGATGTCCCCGCCAATTCACCAGATATTGGGTTTGACCATGGCGGCGACGTTTCTGAAAAAGCCGTTCCACATGGAACTGGAGGTCCCCCTGCTCATCGAGCATGCCGGCGGAGGCCGGTGTATCGTCACAAGCTCATGCTGAGTTACTTCAGGAGATATAATGTCTCCGTGAGACCGTGAAACAGATGCAGACTCGCCTTCAGTCGTTGGAGCAGGGTCGGACCCGATTGGAGGGGCAGCTTGACATCTTGGTTCAGATGATGCGTCCTGCAGCAATGCCGATGACCTCGGTGCAAGCGCCTTAGCATTCACGTGGGACGGATCCCAATTTGGCTTGAACATGCCAACGTAGAACACATGGTGTGTACGCAATTTGCGCGGCAAATTAAGCGTATACGCCAATTCTGTCTTGTCCACGACCTATAACCCATGAAGCGTGGACGCAACTTCGTCTTCGAGACAGCAGACACTACTTTAGTAGGTAGGTTCGTAGCATTTAGTAAGACTGTTCTTCGGCCTCATAGCAAGTAACACAGCTTTTGTCTTTAGCATCCGCATATTTTTTTTGTTTGTCTTGGCTATCAGCCATTGCATCACGCACATGTCGTAATAAATTCAGTCGCGTTGCAAGAAACGTATTCACCAGTTTCTTGACGGTATTAGGGCTGACATCAGCAAGCCGATCGACAACATTTCCCCCACCAAGCCTTGAACCACTCGGTGGTAGCGTTAACGGAACGCGTGGGTGTGTGAGTCCATTCACATAGAACGGAGTGTAGCCGGTAGAGGTGTGCACGTAGTTATTGAGTGCAAACTCAACAACAGGGAGCATAGAGCTCTAGCGCTTAGGCGTTTCCGCACAAACGCTGCGGAGGATATCCTCAACGACGCGATTAACATGTTCAGTTTGACCATCGGTCTGCGGATGGTTCGCTGTGGACATGTCCAATTAGGTGCCTAGCACCTGGAAGACGGACTTCCAAAACTTACTCGTATAACGAGGATCACGGTCAGATTCAATTTTCACTGGCAAGCCATGTTGGCGAAATTCTCGATCGATATATAGCTACACTGTACCTTCACCATCGATCGAGTCTGGCACAGCCGCTAAGTGAGCCATTTTGCTTAAACGGTCAACAAAGATTATGTCCACTGCTTCTGTGATAAAGTCTTGCACGAAACGGACTACCGCTTCACGATCAACAGGAATTTCTCTACTGACTCGTTTCTTTTGGCTGCAGTGCATTGTGAATGCACTGTAGAGATAAATGTTACTAACTCAGCAAGAACAGCAATGTTCTCGCTTGAGATACCTCGAACGATGGTGAATTTGTCAGCATCTTCATCAGTAAAAGCGTCATTGCTACTACTTTCTTCCTCGTCACCGAAGTCGAATGATAAAACTTCGGCTACTTTGCGTCAACCATAATGTCGTCGCGTGATGAGCAAGAGCCAGATTGGTCCTCGCTCGAGCGAGACCCTCCCCCCTTAAATTAGAGTCACCCTCTACTAAGGTGGGGACACCTTGATGGCGAAGGCTATTCACGTACGTGGAAACATGCACTTAGTTGTTGATGGCGAATTCGACCATCGACAAAAACTCACTTCAACTCGTGAACGAGTGGACGTACCCTCAAAGTATCTCTTCGAGGAATCGATTGGCGCGTTCAGTCTGACTATCGGTTTCTAGATGGTTAGAAATAGACAGTGTGAGCCGTGTTCGGAGCACGGAACGCCATACTCAGCCGTGAACCGGGGGTCCCTATCGGACACATGCTCACGGGGTAGAACGTGCAATCGAACGATTATATCAGTAAACTTTCGCGCACAGCCTTCTGCTGTGATTGACTCAGGTACAGCAACAAGATGTAACATCTTGCTGAACACACAAACACGAGAATACCAGTATTCCCGTGAGCGTCTTTAGGAAACCAAAAGACGAAGTCCATTGATACGGACTCTCAGCACTATGCCGTAACAGGTAGAGGCTGCAATAGTGTACGGAGTGAAGGAATAGGTTTCACTCGTTGACACACCTTGCAAGCACGCACGTACTTGCGCACGAACGTATACTGTCGTGACCAGTAAAAGGCGCGACTGACCGTGAGATAAGTCTTCTCACGGCCGCGATGCCCACTGAATGATGCATCGTGACATTCAAACATAATCCGTAGCCTGAGATCATGTTGTGGCGGTACAACGACACGAGGTGTGTTGCCGTTGACGGCTGTGTAGTACAGTAAGCCGTTCCGCCGGGTGTATCGATCGAGAGAAGATTGATACGTGGCAGGCAAGCGCTTCTTATCTTGCGTGGATGGGTCCTTAACGTACTCACATCAGACGCATAAGATCATTATCTTGTGCGCATGCCATTCTAATGTCGTCGAGTAAGCTCGACGACAAGACGCTGGTACTTAGCGTGGCGACAGTGGTGTTTACATCACTGTCGGATTGCACAGTCGGCTCTAGGTCAGGCCGACGTGAAAGAGCATCGGCGACGACGTTAAGTCGTACCGGTTTATACTCCACGGAGAATTTGTATTCCGCAAAGAAGGACAACCATCTCGCCATTCGTTGCGAGAGGTGTGGACTGTTTACAGCCGTGCGTAATGACGCATGGTCTGTATACACAATGAACGGTCTATCTCCTAAGAGATAGACGCGAAACTTAGCCAGTGCATACTTCCTGGCAAGGAGTTCCTTGTCATGCACCGGAGTAATTGCGCTCGGCCGGTTGCAGCTGACGAGATTGATAACAGACGACACGCTCTGCGCCGTCTGTATCATATTGCATCAGTGCGCAGCCGATTGCAAAATCACTGGCATCACAGACCACATGAAATGGTCTGTCTTGATCGGCAATCGCCAATACTGGCGATTGCATCAAGCTTAGCTTGATACGTTCAAAGGAACGCTGACAATCAGCGTTCCAGTTCCACTTTACATTTTTCTTGAGTATAACAAGAAAAGAAATGTACTGTCATTTCGGCGTAATTGCGCGAGTACTTGTACAAATACGCCGCTAGCCCAAGGAACTTCCTCAGTCCCTTGACATCGACTGGCACTGGCCAGTCGGTGATTGTCTTGATCTTTTCTGGATCAGGGCGTACGCCGTTCTTTCCGACGATGCACCCAAGAAGTGGTATTTCACTAGCTGCGAAAATACACTTCTTGAGGTTGGCGTACAACTTATGCTCGCGCATAAGTGTAAGAACCTTACGGACGTGGAGTCTATGGACTTCCTCGTCTGTTTTCCCGTCCATAGCTCGACTATGGACGAACACATCATCGAAATAACTCGGTGCGAATTCGCGCACCGGTCTCAATAGATATGAAACACATCTATTGAACGTGGCTGGTGCATTACTAAGCCCTTGCGGCATCACCAACCATTCCCAGAGCATACCACTGGGAGTGCTCACTGCTGTATACGGGATGTCCCGTTCACGCATTAGGATCTGATAGAAAACATCCATCAGATCCATGGACAAAAAGATCGAACTCTTAGACACACCATTTCATGATTATGTCCTTACTCGGTATCGGCGTTTGCGCCGGTCTCGTTGCAGCGTTTAATTGTTGAGCGCGTGTACTATCCGCCAACCTCTTGTGGCCTTGCGCACACAGAAGGTCGGAGAGCTGTGAGAGTAAGTTGATCCCCTCACATGGCCTGCAGCTAGGCGATCGGCAAAGAACTTTTTGATCGCCTCGACCTGTTCCCGAGGCAGTGGCCACTGCTTCATGACACAATATTTGGTGCCAGGAACAAGGTCGATCTCGTGTCGAGTACCTTTTTCCTTCGGTGACTCGCACGATACGGATTCAGGGAATACATCCTTGAATTCGACCAAATCCTTGTACAAAGGATATGACTTCAGCGACTCCCAGGATTGCGATGTATATCGCTCAATACGAGTCTTCTCATCAAGGACACTTTCGTCCATTGATGAGCTGCTTAGAACCCGTTCGTTCTCAGCAAAAACTGTTGCTGACCGAATGTCAGTCATGTACTCTTCCTCTGCGACAAGTACACAGATCTGCTTGACTTTGCCACTACGCAGATCACGCAAGAATCTTTTAGGTTCTAGCGTAGGCAACTGAGTTATCTCCGAAGTTAACTTCGAAGGCGCGATCCTATCAAGCGTATAAGCGCCTACGTTTGATCCGTCATTAACCAAGACGATCACGTCTCGGTTACTTCCTAGAGGACTTATTCTCTCAGAGCACTGGGGACTCATTCCCTCAGTGATTGTTATCTGGGGACTCATTTCCGCAGACTCGATGGAACTCATGTTATCGACTTTCTCTAGTTGTGGTGGCGCAACCACAGCGAGATTTTCTGCGATCAACTTTCCAGCTGATCTAGAATTACCGTGTTGCCGCTTCTGAGCAACCGCTTTAATCTTAGGTAAATGTTGCCCTTTAGGCAAGCATTCATGCCCCGGTCCACTCGACTTATTCGAGTGGTGTACCTTCGGCGCTGCCTGTGCTTGTGCACAGCCGCCGACAGCTTAGCTTGCTTCTCAGCGTGACTGTCTGACATGCTGAGTTCTTGTGCAGTCGTACTAACGACCGAACCACAAGTGAAGCCAACGCACTCACTCGTAGTACATTTACACGATTTTGAACGCTCCAAGACGTTCATTAGATGACCATTTGATAAATAGGCGGCAGAAATCTTTACGGTACGATGCTGCCAGCTGACCCATGGATCGTACCTTCTGAGCCATGGTAATCCTAGGATGACATCAAATTTGTTATACAGATAGAGTACGATGAGATCATCATCGTACTCTTTACCTTCAAGCGTGTATTGAATCCCCACTACACGTTTCTTTGCTGTTACGGATGCGTCAGTTACAAGGCGCACCGTCTCCTCGTTGGAGGGGTCTCGCGCTCAACATATATAATCCTACGATCATCTAGCGATTGGCGTCGAACAAAGTTTTGCGAATCCCCACAATCAACTAGGGCGCTAAGTGACATGTTCTTTGTCACTTCGATCTTCAATGTGATGAGGTATACCTCATCACTGGGAGCAGCAACACATAGTGACTGTGTGTTGGGAGCAACCTTCGTAAAGGGTCCCGCGAGCTCTCTTGACGTTGCTCGATCAAAAGAGCGCTCTGCCCCTACTGATCCCAACCCTTTTTTAAGGTCCACCACGTTGTTGCGATTTCGCACCCAATTCTATGATCCTTGCTAGCAGACGAACAATCGTCACTTCAAGCTTTATGAGACACTAAGTGTGGGGAGCTGCACTCATTGGATTAGTGATCTATCTTCTGGCGGCGATTGCACTTTTGCAATCGCTTGTACTTAAAATGCGAGGTCGCTCGCTCTTTACATAGGAGAGGTCCATTGGTTTTGGACCTCTTCCCTCCTGTCGTCTTGATGGACGATAGGATCCCGAGGGAAGTGAGCCTGTTGCATGCTAAAGTCCTCCAGTTCCGCTGCAGAGATCACTTGATCCAGCGACTCGAGTTCTAAGCGGAACAGGTCGGTCTTGAGATGGCCATCTATCAGACCCTTGATGAACACAATTATCTGCGTGTGAACATCTATCAGGTGTATTACGATACAGCTAATGAGATATCGTACATGCTGGGCGTAAGCGTGTATATCACGCTTACCCTGTTGCAAATCCAGGACCTCAGCCCGATCCCTGAATTCGGCTTGAGGCGGTTCAAACGTGTGTTTGATCCGCGCCTTGAAGACATCATACGTTATGAAACGTATGGGCATGCAGCTTGGGCCCTAAGGCCCAAGCTTTGGCACGTCCTGCCAAGTTCGACATGGCGGACTTGACCTTCATCGCATCGTCATTGATGCGACGAGCCTCGATGGCATCGTCAAGTTCGACGAACCATCTAAAGAAGGAGTCGCTTTCGACTGCATTCTACTTGGAGACATTAATCTTCAAGGACTCGGGTCGACGTGCATGCGTCGACCCGGCAGCAACATTTGTCTGCTGTTGTCTCAACGATTCAGACTGATGAGCACCCTGCTGTATCAACAAGTCAGTTTGTTGAGCGCCTTGCTTTCACAACAGGTCAACCTGTTGAGAAACTTGCTCCTATAGCAAGGTGAGTTTCTTTACAACTTCGTCAAGTTCATGTTGTATGAACTTGGCGGTGGTTGCATGTTGTTTGTCTCCGCTAAGAGAGAGCAACCTGATACCAACGGCAGGGTTGCCGATGGTGTCAGCCATATCGCTGAGCCGCATTCCATTCGAAAACACTTAAATGGCAGAACTCATCACGCGTTGCGTGATGACGTTCATCATCCGCTGATTCCATAGCGGATGGTGCGGCGGTCATTGAACGAACCACGAAGTGCTACCAGGAACCCTCCGACTATACTGATAACAGTATAGTCTACCTTTACTGATGAAAGTAAAGCAGGTGCCTTAAAACCTCACTTACTCGGACGGAGACAGAGGAAGATATACGACTAAGTGATGTACTTAGTTGTAAGAGTAAAGAAAACTGTACTTAGTATAGTTTAACTATTTAGTAGAACGTATCTGTTATAATCTTGTCTTAACTATATTTAACTACAACTACGTATGTCGACCACTTACCCTTCATTCGTTGCGCGCGTCCGTCGGTCATTGGCCAGCGCCCTGGTTAATATATTGGCCTGTATCAACCAGTTAAAGGGTTTAAGCAATATTTTACGAAAAGATAATATTGTCAAAATAGTATTAGTTAAAACAATATTCTTATTGACACTTCATATAAGTGTCAATATTATGTAACGGACTCACCCCGTTCCAATCTAGAAGTAGTGGAGTCGATTTAGCGATGTTCCAACAGTCGACAGGCACAACATGCTTTCTCGGTGCACTTTTGTTCCCATCACCCCACGCATCTTAAGGCATCGTTGATCGACTCTACTGCTTCATAATAGCTCACATGGATCGATATTATGTTGCCATGGAGCTCATAAGTCGTGCTCGACCAAACACTTCTGCTAAGGCTGCTTTTGCTCTGCTTTTTTATTTCGAGCGAGGTCTCTAATTTAAAAACCCATATGAGCAACTAAATCGATCACTGTTTCTGCATACAATCAACCACTTCACAGCATTCACAACGTCACTGAAATATATGTGACGAATGTCTCGTGATACACACTCTTCAGCTGCATTTGTCACTATTTCCTGTAAATCGAGAAGCATATTCTGATTCGTTCTCGTCTGTAAACTCAACACTTAGTGGGCCCAATAGACACGCTAGCTTTATCTTGAAAGTTACTTTGACTTTGTTCAATGTTATATGACGAAGGCGTTACGCTAGACTCCTCAAAATCTCTTAGAGTGTAAGCTAGTCCCACCGTTTACTTTTAAGTCTTCATTTTTAGAAGATTCTGACAGCACGAATAATGCTCCACCCCATTAGTCTCATACTCACCCCGTTGGCCTTATCCTCGATGATCTCAAAGGAACTGCTTAAATGATGAGAGGGTGGTGCCAACTAGCTCTTTACTCGCTCGATTTTCATCCTATTGTCGATTTTGTAGAAGTTGAAGTTGTGACCATCACTCTTCCACCAAAAGTTGCAGTTCCGCATCATTCCGCATTCTGTCATGAGCAAGAAACGATGCGCACTCAATACCTGGCCAATCGAGGTCTACGATTATGAAAGAAAGGTGATTACAGACGAAGCTGTGGGAGGCATTGATCTTCGAAGAGGCCGGTGGATTCACTGCAAATGGTGCATGATTTACACTTAAAAGGATCCTGACAATGTATGGAAAATAATGAGATCTGATGCTATACATGCAGGTGTAATACGACGTTGAAGACGACATTATTTTCACTTGTTAGTTGGAAGACTCATAAGAAGAGAAAGACGCACTCGATCCATCAACAAAAGGCCGTGGACGGCGGATCACAACCCCAGATTATCAGCAGCTCGTCTCAGTCCTCGGTGTTAAGCTTAGTTCAAGACACTCCAAAGATAGTATTGGGAAGCCAGGTATCCCAAGATCACGAGTCATTGATGTTTGTTCGTCGTGATCTTCACAAGAGCAAGCAACACCAGGCACAACATGAGCGGGACGTGAACAATGTGATAAATGCAATGACAAGTCTTATCACTGATCAGCAGAGTGATTTAAGTTCATTGCAAGATAAAGTGCACGACATGGAAGACAAAATACAAGAGCTCAAGAAAGATCTGGAGATCTTTCGTTGCAAGAAAAACCAACAGACGAACATGCGAGCGCCACAGAAAAAAAGGACTGCAACGACTTCATTTACTACTCATTACATACCAGAAAGTCGTGACTTTGGTAGACAGACTCAGGGTCACGACAATAATACGTGGTATAAAATCTCCGGAAAGTCCAGTAGCAACAACAAAACAATGAAGAGGAGCACATCGGATATGAACAGTTTCGAGAAGCGCTTTCAACTTACATGATGCGGTAATCTAGCAGAATACGGGACACGCTCAAGGTGACACCTCAGGCACAAAAACAGAAGTGATCGGCGTTTAAAAGAACAGCTTACGCGTTTCACTTTCTGTTTGTTCGACTGGGCAAGTGGGGCACTTAAATCGTCTGTAGGTTATTCAAAATTGAAAGCGCAAACGAGTGTCAGGGAACGAAGCAGCAATATTAAGATTCTAGGCACAACAAACCGAGTCATGTTGTAGGAGAACCGATCGACACAGGAGCGACAAATCACATGGCCACACTTCAGCATTGTTGGTGGGTTGTCTGGGGTACTCTCTTCCTTCGACACTGGACAGGAAAACACGTTGTGAAATCGAAGCTCTTTTGCAATTGGAATCTCCACCTACACAGCAACGAGTAGGCATTGTCAGGTCCACATCGATGACGAGCCTTCTCTTTACGTACAGGTAGTTCCTCTATGCTGGCCCAATCAGCTAGCTTACCATCCATAACAGATGCAAGCTTGCGCATCGCAGGCAGTGCCGGTATACCTGCTGACAAACTATTATTGCAGTTGGAATTTGTAACACAGCTTCCGTCATTTGCACAGGGCGTACCATGTTTCGAGGTAAGACCGGTATGGAACAGAACAAAGTCGGCAGCATGCTTGGATCACGGCGTCGTAAATATCTTTCCAGCGATCGTCATTGAACAGCTTTTTGTACGGCGATTCTTCCAGTTTGCCTTTAAATAATACGCAGCTCATCAACACACCCACCTCTGCGCAATGAAAGAGCAATTTAGCACCAACGGCACGCCAGCTTTTATCATATAACCTCTCGTGCTTTTATGCCCACCTTCGTAGTGTGTCTGATGAAAATAAGGGAGTTCCTTGTTGGCGAAGCTGACTGCATCCATCATGTCTGGTGAAGACTCAAGGATGTCCACGTACTTGTGTCGAACCAATTCAAATTCAATGTCAATGTCCAATCGTCCTAGTTCCTTTCGATGCTTCCGAGCCCAACTGAAGCACAATGCACGCACCAACAATCATAAACCTGCCGAATAATATTTCCGTCTTTTCGTCAAAAAAGCAGGCAACGTACTCAAGTGCAGGCTGTATATCGTGTTCTTTTATTGCTTTCAAGATCTGGTGCAACTCGATGAAACTTTCTCTAAATGTCAAGGGCAGCTCGAGTCCCGCCTCCTGTTAAACATGAACATGAGAAAAGATAGCTCGATCCACACTCACAATCCACGCTCACCTTGCACATGGTATCAGCCGCCTCAATCTGTCCATCTTGATAAAGATACTCCGCCACCAGACGCCACACAAGTTTCTGGTCGAGTTTATTTGTACCACACACCTTGGCGATATCTGTGCAAAGGTTCTACAACCACAACAAACATCAATTCAGTCCTCAACCTCACTTGACAATTATTTTGAGTACTATTCACCTTGTCAATATGCTTTGAGAGCTTGGACAGCAGTATGTGGATGGCTTTTAATTCTCTAGCAACATTCTTCTCAATATTAAGCTGTTGCACCCGATAAATAAAGTCCTTCAAGATACACTCAGTCTCATTGTCCTGCTCCTCGACTCCTACATCTTCTTGCTTTATCTTCAACTCTTCAGCATTGTACGACGACTCAGCTACCTCCAACAGTGTTTTATCATCATTGAAAAATTGGGTTGCTTCATTATTGCTAGCATCTTGACTGCCTTTTTCCTCATTCTTTGCTGAGCTAAGTAATGGCTCCTTCAATTGCCTATTCTTCTTTCGACAAAGCTCCTTCTGTCGCGCTTCAAGTTGCTGTTTCGTCGTATCCACGTGCATCAGCAGCTCGTCGAGTTGAAGATTAATCTGCGCCACACATACACGTTGCTTCTTTAACACACGTCTGCTCTCTTCTTCTAATGTCTCCATCTCAAAGTAGCTGCTGCCCGTCGTAGACGACGTTTTCTGAGAACGTATCAGATGAAAGAACAAAAAGGACGCGAATACACATTTTGCCACAGAATACAGCAACTTGTACACATGAGCGTTAAAAAACGAGAGGTTTGTATAAAACCGCTTAAAACCGAATTTCAGCATTTGTGTTACTTTTTTTAACTGGATTTTTTTTAACATGTAAAAAAAAAATATTGACAGAAAACCGTGACTGCTAAAAATCTACATCTAAATGTCATCATCTTGTCTCCATCTAAACTTTTTATGTCGTTTTTATATCGCATTCACACTGATTTAAACCCTTCCAAGTTGTAACCCCTCGCGCAGTTCGCTGAATCTCTCTCACTACCTCTTTTGCTCTGAACCCAGCGCAATGTTCCTTCTAAAGCCAGCGTCATCATCTCCAACCGTCACATCTACTTATCACCGTCTATGCGTTGGTCTTGTGGCTTCTGAATGGAAATACGTGGCTGAAGGAGGTGCGAATGTTTTATTTCGTCATCGACCAGACGATAAAACAGCATCTAGTGCCGTTGCCATTGAATTCAAAGGCAAATTATTGCGTGTGAAGAAATGTGATGTGGTCGACCCAATCCGAAACAATACGAAAGACAAACAGCAGAACAGAGATGAGAAACCCTATGTGCCACACTATCCACACCCAAGAAAGGTGCTGGATTATGCTACACATGAAATTATGCCGTTTCTACAGCAACAATTGCACGACCATATGACTGTTGGGGGTAGAGAAAATACTTATCTTCAAGTAGCTGAGCTTGTGGATGTTGAACGTGGCTTTTTACAAGCACTAAATGCACAATTATTGTCGCTCGAATGTCGACCAAATCATCGAAGACACAGTCAGATTGATGTCTCCTTGCAATGTGTGATGGTATTACCAGATGTGACATTACCATTACCAGATGAAAATCGTGTGCGAAATTTCTTTCAATCAACAAAAAGTTTGCTGGAAACAAAAGCAGAAGAATACGAAGAAGAAGAGGAAAAAGTGACTTTGTCGGACGAAGATGACGACGTCGAGGAAGAAGAAGAGGAAATTGTGGATGGAATGAAAGCGGATGGTAATCACAATGTTATTTGTAGCAGCACAAGTGTCAGCAGTACGTCGGACAAGGAAGACGAAGACGAGGGAGAAAGTATATTGAAGGAAACGTTGACTACGCTGAACCGGCCTGGTAGAATTCACTGTGTAAACATGCCACATACTCTTATGTCTGCACGCACTTCTTCGTTCTATGCTGGAAACGTGTTTGACTGCTGTTTCCGCAATATTTGTGTGGAGTTGAAGCCGAAGATTGGGTTTAAACCAAAGGGTCCATTGGTTAGTCCTACGAAGGCACGTGTGTGCCGATTCTGCATGCACCAGCACTATAAAAAGCGCACTGGTAAGGTGGAAGAGATTAGTCAATACTGTCCATTGGATTTGTTTTCAAAGGACCCAGGTAGGAAGCGACGAGCTCTTCGAGCATTGCAGCGAACGCCTCAGAATAATTTCAAGCTATTTGTGCGCTCGGCAGAGGACGAGGTCGTGAATGTCATTACAGGCTTGAATGCTGACGCGCTGCCAAAGGGTGCGGCCCAGTCACGGTACTCCTATTGTCAACGAAAACGAATGGGCTTACGACACTCGTGCCAGTCCATAGGCGCCGAGCACGAAATTGCCTTTGATGAAAAGGGGGCAGAGCATGATCGTGATCATGCACAACTGATGCCTGAAGTAGTTGAGCTGATCACGCAAGTTTTACAGGAGCTGGCTATTTTAGACGACTTGAAGCAGATGCAGTTGCTAGACCACATTTCAGCAGATGGCATGTGGCATCTTCAATTGCTGCTGCAGCGACTTGATGAAGAGAATACGATAGTGGCTTCATCTAAAGCTGATACAACTGTGGGTGAATTAGTAGCATCAATACGGCAGCACTCTAACTCTTCGACGGACGAAGATGTAGATCAAGAAGAAAGTCTTGCACGCGGATTGGCTTTCTTGAACATTGCACTGAACCATCTACCCGAGCTGGATGTGCTACAAGAAGTTAAATCGTGGGAGACGATGCGTCTCCAGCAATTCCATGATTTGTACAAGGAGCTAGAAAAGCGGTTCCAGGTGGCTACAACGTTGAAAGACTGCTCGCTGCTTTTGTGCTTGCGCCGCTCGCCCGGTGACGACGCAGGTCGAGGCGATGACCCTCAAAACAAGACATTGAACACCTCGCGGCCTCCTCAGCATCTCGTGGAGTTTGAACACCATGTGCGCTTTCGTGACCTGGCTTTTGATTGTGTGGTGGCAATTGTAGATCTAGATGTCAAGTCGCACAAGTCGGTTGAGGATTACTACCGACTGGATGAGAAGATTGTAATGAATTTCCACCGCGAGTTTGGCGACCGGGGCGTGGCGCAAGCACTCTGTCACGAAGAATGAGCGGTTGGTTTTTTTTCAGAACCCCTCCGTCGTGCTTGCAAGGGAAAGGAGACCTATAGCTCTAAATCTCGATGAATCCATCGCAATTACACATAGAAATGTTCACTGAACTTTGAGGGAGTGCATGCTGCAGGAGTCAGTCAGACTGTAACTTTACTCAATAGACAGCATCCGGTGCTTGAATACCGCTGTATACGGCACACACTGCTACATTCTTTTCTGTCCCTTTGCCTTCCGTTTAGTAAACTTGGCTTGCATCTCTTGTTGCTGCTTGTCCCGAACACGTGCCGTTTCTCGCTTAAGTATAGCCACCCGCTCCGGATCTACATGTACATACAAATATATATATGTACAAGTCAAAAGTCAGTAACGTACATATAATCACTACTAGAGCTGTAACGAAACGCTGTTACAATGGAAATCATCTAACGCATGCAAGAAAGTCTTGGGGTTGAGGGGCACAGCCATACTGGACCTAAAACGACAGGACGTACCATTGGCGCCTTCAAGAATCCGTTGATGACGTCGGTGCTCAGTGAACTTTCTATAGCGTCGATATCCCACGTAGAAGAGAAATGCAGCAACCAGTAGCTTCCACCCGTAAGTCTCAAGTACATTTTGTACACTCCGCCAGAGCATCATCGATATCGTTGAGACCTTCTCGTGCATTGTTTTGCAATTTTTGGTAACAAAGGCTGACATTTTTCTAAAAAGTATACTGAGTGCTAATGTATCATTTTACTAAATATAAAAACGATATCCCGAAACGGTATTGTTCCGGCACTTTCGGGACGCTGCTATGCATATGTCCATCAAAGAATTCGTTCGAGGAAGAGATCGTACAACATTTGACATTTTTTTCTATCGACTTATGGTCACGTTGGCTCGAGTTGTGTGTGCGTGTGTTTTCTTCTTGGTACTGTCTGCATTGGGTACTGAACATTTCACGATCAGTCAAAGAAATGCCCAAGTTTCCAGCAGACATCGCAACGAGTACATGTACGCGCTCTTAAACGACTGTTCGCACGTAAAAACTGCAAGTAGAAAACGTCTGTGACACTCAGGCCAGTCGCCACGAGCAAATCCTACATATATTCGCCCTATAGTAAGCGGCTGTCCTAGGTACTTCTGCTACGACCACATTCTGCAATTTGTGCTCGACGGCTTGTACCACTTGACGTGCTTGTCGTTTTTTATGGTAAACCAGCTAGATCACAACTTGCTCATTATGAATCGAGATAGTACAATGGAAACTCAGGTACGAGCAGACCAGAAGAATGCAGCGATATTGAGTCAACACAAGACGGATTTCCCAGGATTATCGGCTTGGAGTGATGATGAAGCTCCTGAGGAAGAAGGAAGCGATATGTCAGATGAAGCCCCTGAGGAAGAAGGAAGCGATATGTCAGATGAAGCCCCTGAGGAAGAAGGAAACGATATGTCAGATGAAGGATACAGCGAGACAGAAGATAATATGGAAATTGAACCAGCAACCAACTCAGCACAAAGACCACTTTTCTTTGATGGATTGGAATTCTATCTTATAGTGAGTCAAGTACGCGAGCGTACAGTCAGGTCAGTATTGGCGCTTGGAATGACGAAAACATTGTCAACGTTGCGAAGGCTAAAGCAGAACAAAGAGTCGATCGCTACGATTGAGCAGCATTATCCTGACTTTACATGTTTGCCTACAAATGAGAAGACTATTGAAGCTGAACACCCTCCAATGAACTTGCTAGCAGCGTTGCGACTTCCATCGGCGATTACCATTGCACAAGATCAATCTCTTTTGAAAAAGTTTGTATCATTTCGATTCAAAGTAGATGAAGAGACATGTGTCAGCCCTTTATCACTATCATTGCGGGGCTCCGGATAATATTCAAGGCAAAATGTACTTGTATGAACGATGAATAGAAGGAAGATATGCAGATTATAGTAGTTATAATAATAGAAACTAGAGAAATGGCCTTCTTTGGTCATGAAATATATTTCTAGATAGCAATACCGAAGCTAAAATGAGAAACAACTAATAAGTGGGAGATCAAAAAATACCTTCGAGTTTTGTGATACTGGGTGACAATAAACTTTACTTACGCAATACCGGTACTGCTTCCAACAAAAGTGGACCGATTTTTTGCCAGTAGTACTGGCTCTATTGTGTCAGTATACGAGCTATCAATGCCTTTAATTTGCCGGCCTCTTGTGGCTTAATCTGAAGGTATACGCCCTCCATAAGCAAAGGTTGTGGATGACGATATAATTTATACCATAGGCCCTTTTGTAGCTTTGACACACGATTTCATTACCTACCAAGAAGTTTTATAGTCATTTTTGCCTTTACGTTGTTGATCAAAACTTGTGTATCCCTCATACGCATTCAAATAATACATAATTGTCATTTGTCTAGTGGCCTCAGGCAAAACTTATAGCTGCCAGTGCTCGTCCCGTGACGTCAACGTCGCCCTCGCGTGCCTCTGTTGCTCCTCTAGTGCCTAATGAGTATAAAATCGTAGCCACAGAAGTATCACTTGCGCAAGAATTGAAAAGAAAAGTCTCGACATTTCCTCATGACGAGTCGCGCTTGACGGATGACATTTTCCGCCAAATTAGAGAAAAGAGGGACAAATAATGTACAAAAGTTAGTGTTATTTGTAAAAATAAGATATCAGACGAGGTGATGTTTGGAAAAAACCAACTAGCTAGAAACATACGGCTTTAGACAATATTAATGGGTAATGACATTATCGCTCATGAATCAGCAAAATAATTGCGAAAATTAAAACGACCGGTAAAAAAATCATGCAATGAAAAGACAAGAAAATATAATGGAATTCGGTCAAACAAACAAATGCAGTGCAACAAGTATTCAGGAACAACTTTGTCAAGAGTAAGGGGTAAAAAAGTTATTTTAGAGCATACGAAGAGCAAATACAGTCAATTGCAACAAGAGCTTCCAGTGACGTGATATCTTTAACCACAAAGTAGACGAGAACGATGCAGGTATAAATTCTGCAGTTTAGCCGATCGTCAGCAGCAATTTGCAAAGGCTAGTTATTGATATATTTGACTTGATTGTCATAGAAACTTTTAGTTATGAAAACCATCCCTGGCGCTTGCAAGCAACATATATATCTAAAATGTACCTCGGTACAAAGACTTTGACACTGCGTTCACGTGCTCAGATACTGGTTGTCAGTGCATGCTAGACTTAGGCTAGAATCGTCCGCTAGCTTATTAGATACATTCATTACTGCCTCTTTGTCACGAGTTGGAAACGAGGGCAACATTGCATCTTCCGTAGCTATGATCTGCTGCTGCAAGGCTGAAAATCCACCAAAGCTATCACGCATAGTCGATACCACTACTGCTTCCACTGTGTCAGAAGTTTTACGTAAGCCATCACCAATGTGCTTGTGCCCAAAAAGACCTCGCTTGGTCGTACACTTGCCATTGCCGTTTTGGAATGATCCTCGTTCGTGCTCCACTTGATTATTGTCATTACCGCCAAGGATATTGTCAATGATGTTCGTGACACCTCCCAATACACCTTTGTTTACGTTCTGATCATACATTCGACCCGATTGTATTAGATCGTTCATGGCGTCGGCGGTTGCGTTCGTGCTGAGGCGAGCGGTATGAATCTCCGACTTGGTTGGGTTTTTGTTTTTATAGATCCGCTTGGCCGCGTATCGTAAGTCCACAGCCAGTTCTTTCACGACTCGAATGTCACTTCTCAGAGAGTACTTGGACGTACTACGGAAGTAAAGTCCATGACGTCTATCGTACTTGCCAAGGTTCATGTTCAAAGTCTTGAGCCATTTGGTAACGTCATTTGCCGTCTGGACGAGCAAGACCTTCAATTTCAAGAACTCTTGATTAGTAAGGTCAGCAGCTTTTTTCATGCTTCTAGTATAGATTCTTGTGTTTGTGTGCAACCACGATTCCAAATGATCTTACGCCTTCTTCGGCTGAGAAATGATAGCTGAAAGACTGAAAGTGATACAACTCATCACTATGCGACACGAAGAACGAACGGAATGTTGTAGATGAGAGATAAATTTACGACCAAAGTCAAGGTTCATAAATCTTATCTGCGCATGTCTCCATCTATATTACGCTGACCGATCGGTGACAACTATCTTGACATACATCATAAACATCATTCTACGGGATTTGTCTGCCAACGTGGACGTAAAAAAACTTCAACGTTGAGAATGCTATTTTTAATGGACACTCACCATTCGAACGGTAGCATGATCTCATCCCGCAATGACCTTGTTGCAAACTTTTCCGATGATCATTTCGAAACGTGACTGAAAGTGCACAAACCAACACCACACACTCTGATCTCTCTACATCAACAATGGGCAAGTCTACTATGGAACTCGACATCACTGCTGAGAAGGAATTTGCCTCCTTGGCACAAGTCTTGACTATTACTGCGGATGACGCGGTCAAGTGCCTTAAGACTCTTAAGAACAACCTGTCGGGGTACGATAGTCAACATGGCAACCACCTTCTCCACACGGCCAGATTGCACATGCGAAGCGACATTCGACATGCGAAAGATGTATCCGCGGATCTGAAGAGTGTGGCCCGTCAGATCCATGAAAGCCACAAACCATCCAAAGAGGGGGTGGCATCTGCTCGCACAGCGATGAATGCCATCACTTTAGCCATGGACGTCTTGATTGTGACAGCTCAAAGGTACGATGAGAAACACTCGCATTCGTCGGATGTCAAGGATGCAATGGAAAGCGCTGTCAATGGCAAGGACGAGATGGAGAAGGACGTACAAAGAGACGTCTTTGGGAAGAGCAACTACCAGGCTGAACATCAAGGCGGTTGCGTATTGAGCAACCTCGTCACTGTGGAAATGGTGGTGAAAAGAACGTTGAGCGATAACTTCAACCTCAACGTATTGAGCCACCAGATCACCGCTGCGGAGAAGTCGTTGTCATCATACTCTATCGTGGAACGTGCGAAGGAGGCGGTGAATGATGTGAAGGAAAAGATTACGGGCAATTCGAGTCCAACTTACGCGGGTCACGGCATGAATCAGTCGGTGATATCGTAGGCAGGTCGAAGGTATCCGAGATGGTCCGGGCATATGCCATCATTGACAAGGCTATTGAAAATGCCTGGAACTCTAGCACTACAAGTGAATCTGATAACACAAAGCAAGCAGATAGCTTGAAAAATATAAGACACTTGATCATTAATTCACACTACGCAAGACGTCACATGCATTAAGTTTTAATAGTCAGTCTTTTGTTGCATCTGCTTCTTTTGAACCTATGAACAATGAAAGATGTCAACCTATAAGTGTGTACAGGAGCTTTCGGCAGGCTAATAGAGCCATCGATGTTGGTCAGGTTCTTCATTGTGAAAGTTGTAGTCTAATCACTCAAGTGGGGGTTTCCAAACGCAATTCTTCACACGATGACCGGATGGATATACATTTTCACAAGCTATTCGGCAGGGTTCTCGGCGTTCAGGTTCATTGGACCACTGGCCGCTAATTTCGTTGCAAGTTTGCTTGATGCCTTCTTGTCACTACTCTCGAACATAACGGCCTTGTTTAATGGAGGTAAGCGCTTCTCCGTCAACTATAGACCTGCATGCTTTTCAGGCTAAGAGTGAAAATGCTTATTTCTGTCGCCCCAAAACCCTTAGCACGCTTGAGAGTTATTTCTACACCAACCATTCCAATGACGTTGCTTTTCACTTGACGGACAACATGCATGTGATTGCGTTCGACGTTGTCATATATCCTGATGCCGCTGTCAAGATCCATAGTGGCCAGATCGTGATAGTTATTCGTGATGTTCGCAGTTGTCCAGAGATAGTTGCTGAAGTAGGTTCACGATTAACGCAACCGCCGACGCCATGAACGACCTAATACAATCGGGACACATTTACGATCAGGACTTACACAAAGGTGTAGTGAGAGGTGTCACGAGCATCATTGACAAGATCCTCGGTGACAATAACAGTAACCAAGTTGAGCACGAACGAGGATCATTACAAAGCGACAATGGCGAATATTCGACCACACACTAAGTCGAATACATGTCCCCCTCATTCGTGCAGCCGAAATGTGACGTCTTGCGTAGTGTGAATTAATGATCAAGTGTCTTATATTTTTCAAGCTATCTGCTTGCTTTGTGTTATCAGATTCACTTGTAGTGCTAGAGTTCCAGGCATTTTCAATAGCCTTATCAATGATGGCATATGCCCGGACCATCTCGAATACCTTCGACCTGCCTACGATATCACCGACTGATTCATGCCGTGACCCGCGTAAGTTGGACTCGAATTGCCCGTAATCTTTTCCTTCACATCATTCACCGCCTCCTTCGCACGTTCCACGATAGAGTATGATGACAACGACTTCTCCGCAGCGGTGATCTGGCGGCTCAATACGTTGAGGTTGAAGTTATCGCTCAACGTTCTTTTCACCACCATTTCCACAGTGACGAGGTTGCTCAATACGCAACCGCCTTGATGTTCAGCCTGGTAGTTGCTCTTCCCAAAGACGTCTCTTTGTACGTCCTTCTCCATCTCGTCCTTGCCATTGACAGCGCTTTCCATTGCATCCTTGACATCCGACGAATGCGAGTGTTTCTCATCGTACCTTTGAGCTGTCACAATCAAGACGTCCATGGCTAAAGTGATGGCATTCATCGCTGTGCGAGCAGATGCCACCCCCTCTTTGGATGGTTTGTGGCTTTCATGGATCTGACGGGCCACACTCTTCAGATCCGCGGATACATCTTTCGCATGTCGAATGTCGCTTCGCATGTGCAATCTGGCCGTGTGGAGAAGGTGGTTGCCATGTTGACTATCGTACTCCGACAGGTTGTTCTTAAGAGT